GGAGTCTAGCTCTGTTGCCCAGGCTGGAGTGCACCTCTCGGCTCACTGCAACCTCCATCTTCCAGGTTCAAGCAATTCTCCTGCCTCAGCCTCCTGTGTAACTGGAGCTACAGGTGTGTGCTACCTTGCCCAGCTTTTTTTTTTTTTTTTTCCATTTTCTTTTGAGAAATGGGTTCTACTTTTTAGACATTGCAGAAAACAAAAGAGAGAGGGAGAAATGTCGTTCAGCTCATTTGTTTCACCATGTTGGCCAGGCTGGTCTCAAACTCCTGACCTCAGGTGAACCACCTGCCTCAGCCTCCCAAAGTGCTGGGATCATAGGCATGAGCCACTGCACCTGGCTGATTTTACTCTTTTCTTGGCTATAGAATATTCCATTGTATATATGTACAATTTTTTTCTCTTTTTGAGACAGAGTCTTGCTCTGTCACTCAGGCTGGAGGGCAGTGGCACAGTTCTGGCTCACTGCAACCTCTACCTCCCAGATTCAAGCAATTCTCTGCCTTAGCCTCCCAAGTAGCTGGGATTACAGGTGCCTGCTACCATGCCTGGCTAATTTTTGTATTTTAGTAGAGACAGGTTTCACCATCTTGGCCAGGCTGGTCTTGAACTCCTGATCTCATGATCCACCTGCCTCAGCTTCCCAAAGTGCTGGGATTACAGGCGTGAGCCATGGCGCCCAGCCATGTACATTTTCTTTATCCATTAATCTATTGTTGGACACTTGGGTTGAGTCCATATCTTGGCTACTGTGAATAGTGCCACAGTAAACGTGGGGCGCAGATATCTCTTCCGTAGACTGATTTCCTTTCCTTTGGCTAAACTCCCAGTTGTGGAATTACTGGATCATCTGGTAGTTCTCTCCGCAGTGTTTAAGGAGTCTCCATGCCGCTCTCCGTAGTGGCTGTGATCGTTTGCGTTCCCTCCAGCAGGGTCTTGTTCCCCCCATATCCTCACTAGTATCTGTTATTTTCTTCTGTTTGGTCATAGCCATCCTAACTGGGGTGAGGTGATACTTAGCTGTGGTTTTGGTTTACGTTTTCCTGATGATTAGTGATGTTGAGCATTGTTTCCATGTATTCGTTGGCCGTTTGTATGTCTTCTTTTAAGAAGTGTCATTCAGCTCATTTGTATAACATGCTTAAATCGGATTTTTTGTGGTTGTTGAGATGTTCGAGTTCCTTGTATATTCTGGATGTTCATCCCTTTTCAGATGGATAGTTTGCAAACATTTTCTGCCCGTCTGTAGCTTATCTTTTCATCCTCTTAACAAGGTCTTTCACAGAACAAAAGTTTGTAAATTTGATGAAATCCAGTTTACTGACTTTCTTCTTTTATAAATGGTGCTTTCGGTGTCATGCCTAATAACTCGTTCAATCTCTAGGTCCAGAAGATTTTTACTCTCTTCTTATTTTATTTTAGAGACAGAGTCTAACTTTGTCACCCAGGCTGGAGTGCAGTGGCAAGAGCATGGCTCATGGCAGCCTCGGCCTCCCAGGCTCATTTTGTTTTCGTAGAAATGAGATTTTGCCATGTTGGCCAGGCTAGTCTTGAACTTCTGACCTCAGGTGATTGACCCGCTTTGGCCTCCCAAAGTTCTGGGACTACAGGAGTGATGGTCCAGAAGATTTTTAATATTTTCTTCCAAAATGCTTATAGTTTTACATTTTCTATTTAAATATGTAATAATTTTGAGTTTGGTCTTAGATTTTACAGTGTCTTTTGCCACATTAAAAAAAAAATCCAGGTTGGGCACAGTGGCTCATGCCTATAATTTCAGCACTTTGGGAGGTGGAGGTGGGCAGATCACTTGAAGTCAGAAGTTGGAGACCACCCTGGTCAACATGGTGAAACCCCTTCTCTACTAAAAATACAAAAATTAGCCAGGCATGGTGGTGGGTGCCTGAAATCCCAGCTACTCAGGAAGCTGAGGCACGAGAATCACTTAAATCCAGGAGGTGGAGGTTGCAGCCAGCTGAGGCAGTTCAGCCTGGGTGGCAGGCAAAGCGAGACTCTGTCTCAAAAAAAAAAAAAATCGCTTCATTCTCACAACAGCCTTGTGAAGTATCTTCGCATTATCATTCCACTCTCAGACATGGGGGAACTGAGTCTTAGAGAACTTAGGTAGCTTGCTGAAGTTCACGGAGCTAAAAGGTAGAGAGGGTCTGGGATCTGAACGCAAAGACTCAACCTCCTCAGCCTGCATGCACTTACCCATTCAGCTATGCCCATTGCACAGGCAGCCTCTTATGCCAGCACCGCTTATTATGTCAACCCTCTCTTCCCCTTGCAATGCCTGATTGTAAGCGTGTTAAGTGTCAGATATAAATGGTTGTATCTCTGGATTGTCTATTCTGTACTACTGCTGTGTGTCCATTTTTTTAAAAATTTTAGATGGAGTTTCACTCTTGTCGCCCAAGCTGGAGGGCAATGGCAAGGTCCTGGCTCACCACAACCTCTGCCTCCCAGGTTCAAGCAATTTTCCTGCCTCTGCTTCCCGAGTAGCCGGGACTAAAGGGACTACCACCCTGCCCGGCTAAATTTTTGTGTACTTTTAGTAGAGACAAGGTTTCACCATGTTGGCCAAGCTGGTCTCAAACTCCTGACCTCAGGTGATCTGCCCGCTTGGGCCTCCCAAAGTGCTGGGATTACAGGAGTGAGCCACCACGCCCGGCCTGTTTGTCCATTTCTATATCAACAGTATTGTGGTTATAGTGTCTTTACAGTAAATAAACTATTCATAAGAGATTCCGTACTCATCCTGTGTCCCATCACAGGAGTAGTTGCCAGGCTAGGTGCAGTGGCTCAGGCCTACAATCCCAGCACAGTGGGAGGCTGAGGTAGGAGGATCGCTTGAGCCTGGGAATTCCAGACCAGGCTGCAGAACATGATGAAACTCTGTCTCTACAAAAAATATAAAAATTAGCTGGGCACAGTGGTGCATGCCTGGGGTCCCAGTTGCTTTGGAGGCTGAGGTGGGAGGACCATGTGAGCCCAAGGAAGTAAAGGATGCAATGAGACGTGACTGCACCACTGTACTCCAGCCTGGGAAACAGACTGAGACCCTGTCTCATTAAAAAAAAAAAAAAGCTGTTATAATTGATAGTTTTTTTTTTTTCAGTCTTGCTTTGTTGTCCAGGCTGGAGTGCAGTGGTGCGATCTTGGCTCACTGCAACCTCCGCCTCCCAGGTTCAAGCAATTTTCCTGCCTCAGTCTCCTGAGTAGCTGGAATTACAGGTGCCTCCCACCACGCCCAGCTAATTTTTGTATTTTGAGTAGAGATGGGGTTTCACTGGGCGTGGTGGCTCACACCTATAATCTCTTCTCCTGTCCTACGTTTCCTCCCCAAGGCAGGACTTTTCCCCTGCCTTGGTTGTTTTAGAGATAGCCATAAGGCCAGGCATGGTGGCTCACACCTGTAATCCCAACACTTTGGGAGGCCAAGGTGGGTGGATCACCTGAGGTCAGGAGTTCCAGACCAGCCTGGCCAACATGGTGAAACCCCATCTCTACCAAAAATACAAAAATTACCCAGGTGTGGTGGTGTGTGCCTGTAGTCCCGGCTACTCAGGAGGCTGAGGCAGGAGAATTGCTTGAACCTGGGAGGTGGAGGTTGCAGTGAGCCGAGATTGTGCCATTGCACTCCAACCTGGGCAACAGAGTAAGACACTAGCTTTTTAATTTTAATTTAATTTTATTTTATAAAGACAGGGTTTCACCATGTTGGCCAGGCTGGTCTTGAACTCCTGAGCTCAGGTGATCCACCTGCCTCAGCCTCCCAAAGTGCTGAGATTACAGGCGTGAGCCACTGTGCATGGCCGAGACCCCATCTTAAAAAAAAAAAAAAAAGAGCTATTATGACCTACCTTGTCTGATTATAGGTCATGTGGGGTCCCCCAGTATCCTTCTGCCCACCCTGGTATTTTTCTGTGTCCTGACCAAAAATCAGAGGGCCTTGGTCATTCTGTGACCTAGCAGCTGCAGGACTGTCCCAGCAGGCTTGAGCCCAAAGTGGGGCCTTGACATTGTTGGACACTGATCAAGGCATCCAGGTTTACTTATCTTTGATTAAAACATGTCAAGTCCTCATCGCAAACCTGTGAACCTTGGCCTCCTGCGGTGGGAGGATGGCATAGTGCTTGGAGGTGAAGAGGCGGGTCTGGCCCAGCACCTTGGCCATCCTACGTGGCCCCACACACCAGTGCTCTTGGGATGGTGGCACCACTATTTCAAGCACTAGCCTGGGAAAGAGCTACCACTTACTGGCCCCATAAGGCCCACTGCACAGATTAGGGTGACAGGGAAGGCATGGAAGAGCAATTCTAACCACAGAGCCGTTGAGAAGAAACTGGTAAAGTCAGAGGCTAGAAATACAGGAGAGAAATCATTGCTCAGACAACACAGAAGACGGGTGTAAAAGCCAGGGATTTTCCCCAGAGCTACCGCAACACCTCTGTTCTCAGGTTTTATGCCCTGCCAGCCACATGGTGCAGAGGAGCCTGGCCCAGAGGCTGAGCCCTCGGGGACCAAGCTGGTTCCCCAGGGACTTTTAGGCTAAAGGGGTCAGAGGATCCCCTTCATTGCTGCTCAGATAAAAGCTCCTAGTGTCTTGGTCAATTCTTCTGTTTTCCAGAATAAAAGTAACAGAAAAGCAAGGTCTGCAAACTCCTGGTCTCACCTGCATCAACCTGGAAGGCTTCTCCTGTGGCCGCCCAGGCCTTCCCGGCCTCCCCTCCACACCAGGCTGTGGGCTGGCTCAGGACACACTCTCTAAGGTCAGCCTGCATCTCAACACCTAGTACTTGAGCAGAAAACATCTGCTCAGTGACTGCTATGGGTCTCTTCTGCCCTAGGCCAGCCACCCCTCTGGAAATGCTGGTGCCCAGGCTGACCCCCTCCGCCAGGCCTGCAGCTCCTGCCTTCCACTGCCACTGTGGGCTCAGGCCACATGCCCGCCCTCCCCGCGTGCCCCAGGGCCCTCCAAAGGAGGCAGCATCACGCAGAAGACTCTGGGCTTTATTCCAGACACAGGTCTTGGCCAAATGCCAATGGCAGGCCCCAGAGCCAGGTGGGCTGAGGCCACCAGCCTGGTCAGCTGTAGGTGTCAGGGTCTGCATTTTCTGGCAGAAAGTAGCGCTGCAGGGCAGGCTGCAGGAGCCTCGGGGGCAGCGGGCGGGCAGGCGTGGGCCAGTCAGGGGAAAAAGGCTGCAGCTCCACACGCGGCAGTGGCAGCTTCAGCATCCGGATGGGGCCGTCCAGGGTGCGGCTGGCACAGAGCCGGGATGGCATCGGGCCTGGGGGTGGGCAGAGGCTTGTGAGGCCGAGGGGCTGGGGTGCGGTGGTGGCCCAATCTCCCCCATGTCCCCACTCACCCCTCAGTCCTATAGTGGACCTCGCAGACCTCTGCTCCTTGGCTTCCTGCAGCCGGAGGATAGGGTGGTACCTGGAGGTGAAGAGGTAGGTTCAGCTGTCCCAGCCCTGCTTGGCTGCCCCACGCAGGCCCCGCCAGTGCAGGCCCCACGCACCAGTGCTCCTGGGGTGGTGGCACCACCGTGTCAGGCACCACCACCACCGTATTGGGTGCCGCCACCACTGAGTCCAGCCCTGGCGGGTACAAGTGTGCTGCCTCTTTCCGGATGGCACTCCACGGCTGCACCCGCAGTTGCTCGCAGAAGTAGTTGAGCGCATCAATGGCACCCAAGTCCAGCAGCTGCGAGTGCGACCAGTCAGTCTCCTCCAGAGGCAGTGGCTCTCCAGGCAGCTCAGCAGGTCCAGCAGGGCGCAGGTATGCCTTGGACTTTGGGCAGAAGCTCTGCAGCATCTCCGAGAGCATGCGGCGGGTCCCCCAGCTGTGCACCGATGCCAGCGTCCGATTGGCCTGGAGCTCTGGGGCTAACGAGTGCAGCTCCACAGGTGAAACCACCACCAAGGGCACCTCTGAGACCTCTGAGAGCCTCCTGGAGATGCTTGAGGGTGACCAGGAGGTGCCCAAGGGTGTCACAGAAGCACGCCTGGGTGCCCCAGAGACCACTGAAGCCTGCGATGGGGTCTCCTTGGGAGGAGAGGAAAGCACTGAGGTCTCGGAGACCTTGGGCAGTGCCACCAGCAACTTGGCTGCAGACAGCGGCTGTGAGCTTTCCATCTGTCTGGGAGGTGACCCACGGCCAAGCACCCTGGCTCTTTGAGCACCTACGTGGCCACAGAAACTCCCTTCTACCCGGCCCTCAGCCCAAGGCAGGGGCTGCCTCTCCCTCAACAAGGAGGTCCCAGAGCTGTCCCCGGCTCAAACCACACACCCTCTGTTGACTTCCACCTGCACAGGGAAATCCCCAGAGATGCTTAGGGCAGGGAAGCTGGAGGCCCAGGACTGGGCAAGGCGAGGAGCCCATGGCCTCAGCTGGTTCTACCCCCAGGATGGACTTGGGGAAAGCCAGAGAAGGGAACAGGCTTCCCAAGGCCCACTTGGGCCCTGCTGGCCCAACCTGAAGCTGCTGGATCATGTCCTCCAGTTTCTGGCAGCAGCGAGTGCGCAGGGCGGCCTTGGAGTCCAGGCTGGGGTCCTGGGCCCAGGTCATCATCTCCTCGAACAGGAAGCCTTCCGGGTCCTGAAGGCCCAGCCCATGCAGCAGCTTCTTGAGCTCTGGCCTGGGACAGGTGCATGTGGATTGTCCAGAGGCCTTCCCAGCTGTGGGGTGGTCCGGGCAGGAGCGTGACTCACCGGCAGTGCACCGGGGAGTAGAGGAAGTAGGACATGAGCTCCAGCACCACGTCCTGGGACTCCAGGGAGCAGGCCAGGAGCAGTTGCAGCGCCAGCATCACGAACGTCTTCTGCGTCTGGTCCTGAGGCCGGCAGGGGACGTGGTTGGTGAGGGCAAGTGGGCGGAGAGGGAGACTGGGGCAGCTTGAGGGGCACACCTGGAGGCTGGGGGGCTGGTCCAGGTTGAGCAAGTGTATGAGCAGGCCCTGCAGCTGGCCGTGGAGATCGCTGCTCATGTCGGGCAGCAGTCTCAGGAGCACCTGGAGGATGTGTACACGGTCCACCCACATGGTCTCCTTCAGCAGGGCCACCAACATCGAGGCCAGGCCCTCCACTGTGCCCGCCTCCGGATACACCTGCAGGGCAGCATGCTGAGGCCCTGCTCCCATGTCACACCCAAGCCAGCCCCTCCCTTCTCCCCTGTCCCTCACCCTAACCCACGCTTCTCAGGCATCCCCAGTTCCCTCGAACCTGCAGGCTGAAGATGGGGAATAACTTTTTGAACCAGGTCTGGTAGATGAAGAAACGCAGAAATTTGGGCAGATGCCCATAATGCTCATCGAAGAGCACATGCCCATGATGGTGCCAGGGATGAAGGTGGGTTCTGGCAGCCTCACAGGTGCGCCACCGGGGCTCCAGGGTCCAGTGCACAGAGCTCTAGGGGAGTGGCAGCAGCTGCAGGCTCCACTTTTCTGGGTCTCAGTGTAAGCCCAGCTCCCATGGTGGCCTGGGGCCCCTGTCTGAGCTTCTACCTGATCCTCTAGTTCCCAGGAATTCAGCTGCTGGTTGGAGTGCAGGCTCAGGGAATCCAAGGCCCAGTCCAGCTCCTCCTTCTCCTCCTCTTCCTCCTCTTTCTCCTCCTCCTCCCTAGGCTTATCCCCCAGCCACTGGAGCAGCTTCCTCTGCCACTGGGCTTGGGACGGCCTGGGGCGCCACAGCCACAGGTCATCCTGGCTTGCTCCTGACTGCAGAGGGGCAAAAGGTGGTGTCTGATGGGCTGCAAGGACAGCAGAGCCCTCACCTGCCAGTAAAGCCCCCAGCCCTACCCCTTGCCTTGAGCTTTCTCTGGGAGGCGAGCTGAGTCAGGGATCTGAGGCCGCTGACCTCCGCAGGCAGCCACATCTGCTGCAGCACCACAGAGTTGGGCACGCAGCCGGGGAAGCAGATGGGCCTCGGGTAGTACTAGAGGTGGGCACAGCAGGGAATACTGAGAACCTGGATTCCCCCAGTCTGGACACCACCCGTGGTCACCCATATCACCTCTCTGAGCCCTTCAGCCACCAGTCCAGCTCTGTCTGCCAGGCCTCTAAGAGCTGGCAGCCCCTGGAGAACAGATGGCAGGAGAACCCTGAGGTAGCAGGGGTGGGGTCCTCAGTGAGCATCAGCTGTGACAAACAAGAAGGGAAACCTGGGGAAGTGCTGGCTTCTAGGGGCTCCGACACCCCACAATCTCCTCACGGGACTTGGTGCCAGCCCTGGGACAACAAAGTCTAAAAGCAGCACAGGGACCAGGAAGGAAGGAAGCAGCTTGGAGAGAGGGCAACAGAGAGCGTGATGGTGGTGCCCAGGTCCAAAGAGTCAATAACGCACCTGGGCAGGTGACGCTGCCAGGCATATGCTGGGGGAGGGGCTGAGGCCTGCCTGGGCACCTGCTGTAGGTGAGGGCGGAAAGAGAGTGGATTCTGAAGGGCCAGGTTCCCTTGGCTTTGTTCCCCTAAAGGGCAGGAACTCTGATCTTCCAGGAAAAGTCCCCAGGGGACCTGCCCTTCCAGCACCTCTGGGATAGGGGTGTGCAGGCATAACTGGCCAGGGGGCCTGGCTTTGCCTGATGTCAGCTCCCAGAGCAGCAAGGAGCCTGTGGCCACAAACACAGCTGTACCAGAACAGGGGTAGACAGAGGGTGAAGGGCGAGGCGTGGGCGGTAAGCGGGAGACTGCAGCCGGGCCCTCTGACTGTAGGTGAGCATTGCCCTTGGGTCAGATTTGGACACAAAGGTTTGCAGCAAAGGGGAGATGGCAGGCACAACAGTGACCCCAGAGAGAGAAGCGGCTCTCCAGGAGCGGGGTGGGGGTCTCACCTTGTGGGGCTGCACGGTGGCAGGAAAGAAGCCCCTGAGGTTAGAGAGCGATTCCTGGGGACGTCTCTTTGGCAACAGTGGGATCTGGGGATGGAACAGGGGCTCAGAACAGCACAGCCCAGTGCCCCTGCAGCTCTGTCCCTCAGTAGATGGTACCCCAACTGCCTGGGTCCCTCTCCCTGCACTGCACGTGAGAGGATGGCAGGTCCAGGGCCATGGTCGTCCTCCCTTGGAGCCACTCCACTTGCAGCTGCAGCTCCAGACTGAGGCCCAAGTAGTGGTTGAGTGAGGAGTGGGCCAGAAGCTGGGGCACAGGAGGAGTCACAGGGAGACAGAGGGGCCATGGGGGCACAGCAGGCATTTGGGAGGGTGGGAAGTCTCACCTGGGATGCCTTGCTGTGCACCCTCTGGTGGGTGGGTAGGATAGGCACTGTGACTTGGGGAGGCCGGGAGAAGTGCTGGCACAGGGCCCTCAGGTCCTGTGGGGACAGGGCTGTTGGCACTGTTTGGACTGCAGTGCTGACCTCAGCCTGCCCAAGACAGGGGGCAGCTTGGGGTAGGGCACACATATCCCAGGTCTCTCTCTCCACTGTGAGGGTCCCGGTGCTCCACTGCTGGGACTCCCTTCTGAACTGCATGCCCTGGGAGGGGGGTGGGAGCAGATGGACAGTGTCAGAGACTGGGTAGGAGGGGTGGGTGGAGAGGAGGGGCCGGGGTCAGGGCTGGGTTAGGGGAGGCCCCACACCCACCAGCAGGCCAGAGCCGTAGATCAGACGTAGGTAATTGTCAAAGGCTTCCTGGCACTGCTGCCAGGAGGGTGGGGGCCGGGCTGCTGGGACCACCAGCCCCAGTCTCAACTGCTGAAGGTCTTGGTCCCGGGCCACTAGGTCATCCAAGTCCTGAGGCAAGGTAGGGTTCAGGGGTCAGCCTGCTCCTCCTTGAGCCTTGCCATGGGCTTCCCAGGCAACCACGGGGATCCCAGGCCTGCCCCAGGGCTGAGGGCTGGGGCCTGAACCAGGGCAGGGCGGGCTAAGGAAGACCCACCCCACCTCCTTCAGCACCGGGCGCAGAGATGTTGCCTTCCAACGATGGATGAGAGACAAGGTCTCACTGCAGACAAGGACAGGCACAGGTGGGGTGCTGGGTGGCATGCCAGTGGACTGGGGCAGAGCCTGGGACAAGGACCAACCCCAAATGGGGGTGCCAGGGCTCAGGTGGGCTTGCATCAACTCCACAGGGGCCCATACAGCCACGCTCCCACCCAGGGTAGGAAAGGGGGGCCTCCAGGAGGGCTGAGCAGGCCTGCATAGGACCTGAGACTGGCTGATCCATAGAGGTTGGTGAGCCTTTGCAGCTGGGTGGAGGTCAGTGACTCCTGGCTCGTTAGTGGCAGGGGAGGGTCGTCCACTACGTCCGGGGCCTTCCAGCACATCTTCTGAATAGGAGAAGGAACCTATATCCCTGGCTGGGGAAACCCGAGTCTGACCCCAAGGTGAGCAGAGGTGGGGAGGCAACCATGCCCACTCTGTTCTCACCACACACCTCAATCAGGTAGGATGTAGGCAGGTAGAGCCTATGGGACACCAGGCAGAGGCGGGAGCCCAGTGCCAGTACCAGGTCTCCATTGCTGCTGCGGAAAGCCAGGGCCTGAGGAGCACCATTCAGCTGCAAGAGCCTGGAGGGGCACCCAGGGACCAGAGTCCAGCCCCTGCTTCCCAGGATGGGCAACTGAGGCTCAGTAGGGACAAGGCCTTTTTCCACCCCATCTAGCCATTGGGTTCTGGTGTGGGGCAGAGGTAGGAGAGCCCAGCCCTCGCCAGGCCCCAGCCCACCGCAGGAGGCTGTTCTCAGCGGTCCAGATGCGAACGGTGCAGTCCAGGCTGGAGCACGCATACAGCTTGAGCCTTGGGCAGCAGCACAGGCCTGGGGGCAGGGCTCAGGGTCAGGAATCGGAGCAGTGCGGTGGCTGCGCTTCACCCGCACTGCCCCCTCACCGGTGATGTGGTCCGTGGGGTCGTCCTGGGGTCGGTGGTCTAATCGCAGGCTGTCACCCAGGCCGAACTGCACCAGGCCGTAGGTAGCGCTGTCTGGGTCCTCGAAGCCCACGGTGATGCGTCTGCCTAGCGCACAGAGCGCCACGGCTGGGTAGCAGCAGGAGAAGGTGCGCAGCAGGCTCAGGCTCTCCTCCGCGTAGGGAAAAACGCGCCACATCTTTACCGTCAGGTCCCCACCTGCAGGGGGCGAAGCCTGGCTGGGCCTTGGTGGAGGGCAGGGGCCCTGTGGCGGCCTGGCCGCAGGGCAGGGGAGCTACTCACCCGAGGACACGATGCTGTTCCACGTAGATGCGATGGCGGTGACGGGGCCCGGGCTGTGCGCCTCCGTTTGGAAGAAAGTCTTCAATGAGAGCCACTCCAGCACCGACAGTGTGCCGTCCGTGTGCCCCACCACGGGCAGATACCTGCGGGTGGGAAGAGCTTGTTGGCGCGGGCCCCGTGCCCCTTCCACCTGCGAGGCCCTTGCTTGCTCCCGCACCCACCGGTTCTTATTCTTCCAGGCGGCAGCCACAGCGCTGTGGCGCAAATCCTTCAGGTGCTGGCGCACAACCTCCCAGGAGGAGAAGGCGCCTCCGAGGTCCCTGAGGTGGCTGTACAGGTGCAGACAGCAAGGCTGCGGCGCAGGGGGCGGCGGCGGGCACAAGCGGTGGAGCACAGACATGGGGCAGCGTGCCGCGTTGGCGCGGACCAGGTGCCCGGCCTTGGTCAGCAGCCACAGCACCTCACGCGGCAGGCAATAGGCCACGGCGGCCGCACAGTCCTCCGGTTCCAGCAGCAGTGCGCTTACTATGTGTCCGGTGGCAGCCGACAGGAGGTAGACCGAGCCGTCGGTGCAGGCGCACACTATGCGCGTAGGCAGCGATGGCTGTGCGGGTGCCGACAGCGCGGGCGCCACCTGCAAGTGGAGCACCTTGGCGGGCAGTTGAGCTAACAGCGAATAGAGCTCTCGCACGTGCCACAGCTGCACGCTGCTGGCGCACAGAGACAGCACTGGCCAGCCAGGGCGCACTGGGGCCAGCAGACGGCTCACGTGCCGGGACAGCTTGTCCTGGCCCCAGTAGCCCAGCGCTACCTCGCCCACCTGCGCCGCCGCCTGCAAGTCCCAGGTGCGCAGCGTTCCATCCTCCGAGGCCGACAACACCAGGGTCGTGTTCAGAAGCACAGCCACAGCCGTCACCGGGCCTGCGGGAGGGGTGCAAGTCACTCAGGTGATTGAAGGCAGGGGAGCCTTCAGCCAGTGTCACAGTTAGCACAGCGAGGTCTAGCCAGGGCTGCCGAGATGCTGGGCAGCCTAGAGATGCTGGAGGCAAAGGACCGAGGCTCGGGGTGTAGAAAACTCGGAGCACCTGCGTGGCCCACGAACACCATCCGGATCTGCCAGTCAGCTTCCCACACCTTCACGGTGCTGTCCCGCGAAGCTGTCACCATTGCCAATACCTCCTCGCAGTAAGCCAGGTCCGAGATGGTGCTATAGATGGGGAATGGGAGAAGCCCAACGGATTTAACGCCGCCTTGGGCGTGAGCGGTGTGGCCCCTACATGCCTGACCCTCCCCAGGGGGACCCACTCACGTTTTGTGCAAATCCCGGCGCACATCTACAAGAGCCCAGGCATGCAGATCGAAAGTGAGTATGGCCGAGCCATAGGCCGCGAAGCAGCGCAGAACGTTGTGGGGAGGAGTCGGCCCCACAGCCAGACGCATGAGCCTGGCAGTTGGGCTCAGGGGCGGATGCAGTGGTGCCCCTCGCAGCACCAAGCGGCGACCACCTGAGCGGAACTGCCAGAGCGCCAGGCTGCTGTCCATCTCCGCCACAAGCAGCAGCCTGAGGTCAGGCACTGGCAGACAGCAGGAGGGCGCCCAACCCCGCGCCCTGCCCACCCCCTGCTCGCTCAGCCACAGCAGGCTGAAGTTGGGTCTCAGAATGGCCAGCCCTGCGGGGCCCCAACCTACAAAACGGCCCACGGAGCCCAACGGGCCCAGCACCGTCACCAGCCCTGTAAGCCCGATGGGCGCCGGCAGCGTCTCCTGTGCCCAGCCATCTTCCTTGTGCAGGTGCAGGCGGCCCGCGCCGTCCAGCACTACAAAGCGTCCGCCTTCAGGGTCCTGCGCCACGGAGCGGAGCCCGGCTGCCACCTCCAGGCGGCGCAGTGGCTCCAGCCCATGTGTCAAACGCGCCACGCGCAGCTCGGCTCTCTTCTCCTGTGGGCCGGGGTGGGCGGCCCCGCAGTCAATGGTTGGGACTGCTCTGGCCTAGGGGACCCTCAGGGGAAGGGCCAGATCCAGAAACGCCTGGAGGCACAGGAGGGGTGCACCGCACCTTTTCCACAACCTCGTGGAGGCTGCTGCGCAAGAGCAGCCACAGCTGGCGGGCACGGGGGCGTGGAGTCAGGCTTGGCCGCCGCCGGCTGCTGGTCACAAATGGCAGCACCTGCGGCGGCTCCGTGAAAGTCAACTCTACGGGTGAGAGTTGGAAGTTCTGCCACCTGCAGCCTCGGGTCCCATTTCCTGAAGGTTATAGGGAGCTCTCCTCCAGGGGCTCAGCCCTGCTGGGCACTGCCCAGGGGACTTTCGTTCCAGGGGATGGAACCCAAGTCCGACTGAGACCCACTTCCTAGCAGGATACCTGTGGGGTGAGGCCCGGCCCCCTAACCGTTATTTTCCGTGAGCAGCCCGGGGTCTGGGACATCACAGCCGTCCGCATCATACAGGTCTGAATCCAGAACTAGGCTGTGGCCTTCTGAGAAGTTGCTTGCCTCCCACACCTCTGACTCCATTTCAGCAACTGCGGACCCAGAGCCCAACAGCTCCCAGGACGTAGCGGTCACGGCCCGCGGCGGCCGTTGCTAGGATACCAGATGCAGCCGGCCACACCCACATCGCAGGCCCCGCCCCCACGTCGTAACCAAGCCCACACTAAGTCACAGAAACTTTTATTGTAAAGGAATGAGCTGCAGCAAAGTGACACTCAGTGCACGCGGCCAAATGGGCAAGGTGGGGGTACAGGTGGGCACCAGGGGCCGGCCCAAGACCAGAGCCGGTGACCGCTGGGGCCTGCTTGCGGGGCCTCTGGCCACAGGCCCTTTGAGCTGGAGTGTGTAGGCCCAGAAGAAATACAAAAATAAACTCTGTGGTCCAGCTGTCCTGCTTGTGGCAGTTCACGTGGGCAGGGCAGTTGCTCTTCCCACCAGGTCCCCTGCTGCAGAGTCTGGCCACAGCATGGGCAGCAGGATCCTGGGGGGTGAGTGGGCATCCACAGGCTGGAGCCAAAGGGCTAGGCAGGTGTGGCTTTGGGCAGTGCCAGGACTGTGGCAGTGCCGTGGTCTGGCCAGCAGCTGGGGAGGCCCCAGGGGCCTCTCAGGCAGACAGGTCCAGGCATTGGTTGAAGCTGGAAGAAGCTGGAACCTCCGCTCCTCCTCATCACATACAGATCACTGGGACCCTGGGTGGAGGTTGGCACACAGTGGGCCTTCAGGCGCCACCACTTAGACCAAGTAGAGAAGGCCCCCGCCCTGTTGTACCCACTGGAGGCTCCAGGGACCCGTGTCATAGCCCCCATCACACACCTGTCCTCCTCCATGGTGCTGGTCTCCTCGGCCCCACCCCCACTGCCTCCACTTCTGCTTTCTTCCTCCACCTCCTCCTCCCCCAGCTCCATGTCCAGCTCATTGCCTGCCTCTGAGGATGTGTAGGTGGAGCCACTGAAGGGAAACAGGGAAACCAGTTTTAGGACCCTCTACCCAGACCTGCTGCTGGCCCCAGGGAGGGTGTTCAGGGAGGACAAAGCCGAGTGGAGATGGCACAGCTGGGGAAGCTGTATGGGCCCAACAGGGAGCTAGGGGAGGAGGTGGATGGTGCCCACCTGATGGAGCGGCAGCTAAAGAAGACAATTCGCTTGAGCCGCTTGTTGTAGAAGAAGTAGTTGAAGGACCAGAGGCTACCATCCTCCCCGAAGGGGTCTGAGTCCAAGTCTGGGTTATAGCTGGGGAGTACAGGGTGACAGATGTGTGAGGCCCCAAGTGCCACACATGCCTGGGGGCCCACCTGCACAGATGCCAGCCCACCTGTAGATGTCACATTCAGCCAGGCAGATCTCCTCGTCCACCGCGTTCCACAGCTGTGGTTTCAGGGCCTTGAAGTCCTCCCGCACAGCTGAGAACAGACTGCAGTTGACTGCATTCACCACCTAGGGCAGGCCACAGTCAGGCTGACAGGAGCCCAGGGACTACTGAAAGTGGGGAAGGACAGTGGGCTGGCCGTGGGCCCCTTCCCTCCACCTGACCCTCACCCAGCTAAGGCTGGGCTCCCGGCTGAATTCATGGCTGCGGGCTGTGCTGAAGTCATAGTCAGGCCTGAAGGACTCATTGAGTGTGGCAATCAGGTAGAAGAGGGTCTTGCGGCTGCACTTGTCACTGAGGGGGCCTTCGTCTTCTCCACCTTGGCTTTTGCTGAGTCTGCAGAGAAAGGAGAATCAACTGGGCCCATCACCTCCCCCAATCCCCAGCCCCAGGTGGGCCCCACCGTGGCTCACCTGCTGGGGCTGAGGCCTGAGGTCTGGGGTGGAGAGAGTGCCTCCAGCACGTGGGGCTGGCCCTCCTGGCAGAACTGCTTGAACATGTGCTTGTCATCTCCTGCCATCTTACATGAGTAGCTCTCAATCCTATGGAATGCAGGGGGGACCATGAGGCACTCTTCCCCCAGCTTCCATTCAAGGGCAGGGCAGTGTGACCCACCGAGATGCCAGTCCCCCCCAGCCTGCTTCACCTGCCGATGATGTGGGCATCGCCAGTCTCCACAGTCAGCTGTGAGTTGATGGCTTCAAAGCTCGAGTTCTCCAACAGCTTCATGTCCTTGTGGAGGGAGCTCCGTGCTCCGGGGGGCTAGTGCTGCCTGGGGAGTGAGAGGCCAGACCATGGGTATTCGGCCCCTTGGGGCCCTGCCTGCAGCCTTCCTACCCACTAAGTGGAGCCACTGGGAACAAGCTGACGCTGACCCCTGTTCAGGCTGCACATCAGGCGCTCCCCCCACCGCCCAGGCAGGAGAGGCGATGAGATCCTGTTTTACCTGAGGGTGGCAAGTCTAGGCTCCAGGTCAGCCCTGCATGGCACGCGAGTTCTGGGACCAGGCTGGGACTACCGCGGACCCTGCTCACCCAGGGGCTGCTAGCTTAGTGTGTTGCTCAACATTCTCCATCCCCATCCCGAAAGAAGAGCACCAGCCACCATGGGAGTAACTGTTGAGTCCGCAACGGGACACGACCCTGCAGTCTCACTCAGGCTGGCTGGGCTCCTCAGCCGGGATAAGAGGCTGCATCCGGGTTAGGAACCAGGACACCTGGGACTCCAGGCCCTGCGGTCACCTGGGCAGACGCTCTTCCGTTGTTCTGGCTGCTTTCTGGTCAGGGGAGAGGAAAGCTACAGGTTCCTCCACTCTACTCTGAAAGAGCGCCTAGTTTCTCCGGGCGCCTAGGAGGGCGGTCCCTCGACTCCGCTGGGGTGCTGCAGAGTCGGCCGGGCCGGGCACCCGCCGAGCCAGGTGGAACTACAAGTCCCAGGAGGCAGCGCGCCGCGCGAGGCCTGCTGGGGGCTGTGGTTCCGGCGGCCCGAGACAGAGCTGGGAGCAGGGCGGACACCCACCTGCCTGGCTGGGTTAGATCGGGCCGCACTAGGCCGGGCCTGGCTTGGCTAGGTCGCTCGGCGTCGGTGCCGGTGCGCAGGTGGGGGCGGGCTCCGCGCAGCTTGGGCTTCTCAGGATCGGAGGGCGGCGCCGCGGCCTCCGCTCGGGCCGCACTGTATCCGGGGAAAGAAGCTCCGCGGCGACGTCCCGTTACTCCCGGCCCTGACGGCCCATCCGGGCTGCCACCGCGACATAGCCTCGCCCCCCCTGCACAGAGCCCGCTCTCGCGACCGACCTGCCGCCGACCGACACAGAGCGCCCTGGCAAGTCAGCGAGCGAGCGAGCGAACCAGCGACCTCCGCCTCCCCCGGCCGGACAACAACAAGCGTCCGCTAGGCCCGGCCCCGCGCTTCTGAATGGCCCACCCCCATCTCCTGGATCAAGAGCTCAAATAGTCATTGGGGGCCTTACCCGCCACTTAGTTCTGTCTTCTATGTCTACTGGTTATGGAGCCTGTCTGTCACTCATCTCGCCGTACTAACCCGCCTACCCTCGGTGCTCATTGGCTGCGGTCTCTCTCGTTCCGCCCCCGAGGGGGTCGACCCCGTACCGTACCTAGAGAGGAGCGGGCCAACCTAGTGATACGTGTGGGCGTGGTGGGAGCTGCGGGCTGCTGGTGACGGTGGCCGCCCACTGGGGGTCCCGGGAGCGGCGTCTAGCTGCAGCCAGGCGCTGGGGTAGTCGCTCGCCGGCCACAGCTCCGCCCGTCGAGCCCCTGGGGCGCAGAGGCCGCGCCCGCCTTCAGTTGTGGCCGGTACTTCAGCTCCTGACCCTTCGCCCCCAAAGGTTAAATGTGAGCGCCTCCGCCGCCCTGCCCCAGCCTCGTGCACACCGCCGGCCTCGCCCAGCCGGTCCATTTCTGGGCAAAGCCAGCGGGGCCGACTCGGCCAGGGTCCAGTACTCAGCTCCGTCCCGGGCCCGACGCTCTGGGCACGCCCGGAACCCCAGGCTCGCGGCCCGGGTTTCCTGCCGGCGGAGGCGCTCAGCGGCCGGATCCCACGGAAGCGCGCTCGGAGGGCCGAGACCCGGCCGGACCGGAGATGGCGCCGCCAGCAGGCGGGGCGGCGGCGGCGGCGGCCTCTGACCCGGGCTCGGCCGCAGTGCTCTTGGCTGTGCACGCCGCGGTGAGGCCGTTGGGCGCCGGGCCAGACGCCGAGACACAGCTGCGGAGGCTGCAGCTGAGCGGGGACCCTGAGCGGCCTGGGCGCTTCCGGCTGGAGTTGCTGGGCGTGGGACCCGGGGCGGTGAGTGGGGACAGAAGTTGCACGGTCAAGTCCTCTTGGCCCGGGCGGGGCCCGGAGCCCGAAGCCAGGCCCCTCCGCTTGCCACCTGGGTGCCCTTAAGCAGTTATGTTTCTTTGCTTCTGTTTTCTCGTCCGTGAAATGGGGGTAATGCTGGGACCTACTTTACAGGACTATTAGGATTTGGTGATAGGTGAACAGGGCTAAGACCGTGTACATGGACTATAAATGTTACCTTGTGCTCCTTTGTTCATCATGCGATATAGGACCAGGGGAAGTTCTGAGCCTGGACTCTCCCCCTCCTCAGGTCAGTTTAGAGTGGCCCCTGGAGTCAGTCTCCTACACCATTCGAGGCCCCAGCCAGCACGAGCTGCAGCCTCCACCAGGAGGGCCTGGAACCCTCAGCCTGCACTTCCTCAACGCTCAGGAAGCTCAGCGGTGGGCAGTCCTGGTCCGAGGTGCCACCGTGGAAGGACACAATGGTCAGTGCTCTGTAGTGGATACTCATTTGGAGTAGCCTTGGCTCCCTGGTCCTGGTTGGGAAAGTTGGATCCACCTTCTCCACTGATGGATGTCTGGGAAGGCTCCCAGAGCCTGATGTAGCTTGGAGTAATTTGGAGTGGCTCCTGGAGTCGGTCTCCGACACCATCCGATGCCCCAGCCAGCACAAGTTGCAGCTTCCACCGGGAAGCCCTGGAACCTCAGCCTGCCCTTCCTCAACCCTCAGGAAGCATGAGAGGCAAGCATGAAGAGGCAGAGCAGGCAGGGTCAGGACCTGGTGAGAAAACATCATCCCAAGAGCAGCAGGAGGGTGACAGGAGTGGGAGAGTGACGGACTCAGATACGTCCTGCTTAAGACTGACAGTTCTGCAGTGGCAAGGGTTAGTGCAGATAGGGCTGGGGAGAAGGGTGTTTCCAGAGATGCTTAGAAGATGGAATTAGCTGAGTTTAATGGCTGCTTGGGAGGTTTTCTGCAGACAAGGTGTCCCTCTATCACCCAGGCTGGAGTGCAGCAGTGTGATCCTTACTCACTGCAGCCTTGAACTCATGGGCTCAGGCCATCTTCCTGCTTCAGCCTAAGTAGCTGAGGTCATGAGCATAAGCCACTGCCCCTGGCTCACATGGCTGCTTAAATGGAAGAGTCAATAGTTGAGACTGAGAAAGACGAAGGACTAGGTAGTTTGGGGCTCCCAGACAGCGGGCAGCCCACAGATGAGAGAAGCAGAGCTGCCAGAGGGGTAGGAAGACAGCCAGACAGTGATCTAAGAGAGGCTCAAGCAACTCAGTGTTTAGAAAAGGAGTTAGGCAGCCAGGCGCTCACGCCTGTAATCCCAGCACTTTGGGAGGCCGAGGCGGGTGGATCATGAGGTCAAGAGATCGAGACTATCCTGGTCAACATGGTGAAACCCCGTCTCTACTAAAAACACAAAAATTAGCTGGGCATGGTGGCATATGCTTGTAGTCCCAGCTACTTGGGAGGCTGAGGCAGGAGAATTGCTTAAACCCAGGAGGCGGAGGTTGCGGTGAGCCAAGATCGTGCCATTGCACTCTAGCCTGGGTAACAAGAGGGAAACTCCGTTTCAAAATAAAACAAAATCCAAAAAATAGCTGGGCATGATGGTGGGTGCCTGTAATCCCAGCTACTGGGTGGCTGAATAAGACTCCCATCTCAAAAAAAAAGGAAAGAGGGAGTTAGGCTGTCTTCAGTCATTCATTCACTAAGCATATGTATTCAGCAGCTACTCCTTTGGCGTAAGCAATGAACGTAACCTGCAATCTCCATTCTCTTGGAGCTGGCATTCTTAGAGGAGAGGAGACAGACATAGAAAGTAAGGATAGGGCTGGGCAACATACAAAAAAGCTTAAAAGTTAGCTGATTGTAGAGTTGTCTGCCTGTCATCCCAGCTATTCAGGAGGCTGAGGTGGGAGGCTTGCTTGAGCCCAGGGATTCAAGGCTGCAGTGAGCTGTGATCACACCACTGTGCTCCAGCCCGGGTGACAGAGTGAGAGCCTATCTCCAACAAATAAATAAATAAGTAGAGGTTTTTTTTTTTTTTTTTTTTTAAGTCTGTTAGATGTTGTAGGAATGGGAATGCTGGAGCTGGGAGGATTGGTGTTTAAAACAGTGGCAGGGGCTGGCCATGGTGGCTGACACCTCATCCTAGCATTTTGGGAGGCCAAGGCGGGCAGATCACCTGAGGTCAGGAGTTTGAGAACAGCCTGACCAACATGGAGAAACCCTGTCTCTACTAAAAATACAAAATTAGCTGAGCATGGTGGCGCATGCCTGTAATCCCAGCTACTCAAGAGGCTGAGGCAAGAGAATCGCTTGAACGCAGGAGGCAGAGGTTGTGGTGAGCTGAGATTGCACCATTGTACTCCAGCCTGGGCAACAAGAGTGAAACTTCATCTCAAACAAAAAAACAGTGGCAGGGAAGGCCTCATTGAGGTGACACTGGAGTGAAATTTGAAGGTCATGGCATGAACCATGTGACCAAGGAAGCAGCAAACACAAAAATCCTGAGGTGAGCATGTGCAAATGATCTTTGAGGTTCAGTGGGGATCGGGGCCAGGGCCAGGAACAGTGCTGTGTGCCTTGTCTGTCCTAGTGGGGAGACAGTTTGAATACAGGGGACCTGAGGTCATCACAGGAACTCTTGTTAGCCCATTGCAGTGGGCTGGACCTCACACGGGGGTTAAGGAGAGACAGCAGCATGCCCAGCTCTGAAGATGCCCAGAGCAGTGGCTTGTCTGGAGTGCTGGCAGCCCAAGTGTGGGTCAGGGAGCTAGGAGAGGGGAGGTCCCCAAGGGCAACAAGAGACCACCATCACTGCAGGGCCACTGAGGGCCTGCTTTGGTTCTGCTGTGAGGCATCCCTGGCTGGCAGACAGGGCCAAGAGAGGTGGCCGGGGTAGGCAGCGAAAGCGGTTTGGAAGGACTTTGATTCTTAAAGATAAACCAAGTGCAGCTCCAGCATAAACAGGAATCTGGCAGGGACCTCTGAGGGGCTTGCCAGAACCAAGGCTAGGAGAATGAATGGCTTGAAGTGTGGCCTGAGACAGGGCCCTGGCATGGACTGAGGTTGGGGGAAAGGCAAAGGTTCTGAAAACCCAAGGGCCCAGAGGCCTGGACAGAGGTCACAGCATAGCCCACTCATATCTTACCTCTAGGCAGCAGCAGCAGCTCACCACCAACCCTGGGCCCAGAGGCATGCCCTGTCTCCCTGCCCAGTCCCCCGGAAGCCCCAACACTCAAGACCCCTCCACCTGAGGCAGATCTTCCTAGGAGCCCTGGAAACTTGATGGAGAGAGGTACAGGTGGGTGGAGTAGGGGGTTGGGACTAGCAGACAGTGCCCAGTGGTGACAGCTGTCCTTTGTTTGCCCTGCAGAAGAGCTGGCAGGGCGCCTGGCCCGGGCCATTGCAGGTGGGGACGAGAAGGGGGCAGCCCAAGCAGCAGCTGTCCTGGCCCAGCATCGTGAGGCCCTCAGTGTTCAGCTTCAGGAGGCCTGCTTTCCACCTGGCCCCATCAGGTAAGGCCTGGGGCTTCTTCCTCACTTTGCCCTTGTGACCCTCCCACATTCTCCATCCATCCCTCAACTCACATTCTGGCCCAGACTGCAGGTCACACTTGAAGATGCTGCTTCTGCTGCATCCACTGCATCCTCTGCCCACATCGCACTGCAGGTCCACCCCCACTGCACCATTGCAGCTCTCCAGGAGCAGGTGGGTACAGGGTCTAGGGAGCCCTGCCAGGGGCAGGGGAGCCTAGGTGACACCACCTGCCCTGATGCTCTGGATGCAGGTGTTCTCAGAGCTTGGTTTCCCGCCGGCCGTGCAACGCTGGGTCATTGGGCAGTGCTTGTGTGTGCCTGAGCGCAGTCTTGCCTCCTATGGGGTTCGGCAGGATGGGGACCCTGCTTTCCTCTACCTGCTGACAGCTCCTCAAGAAGCCCCAGGTCAGTCCTTGCTGTGGGTGGGGTGCGGGAGGTGGGGTGCAGCCCAACAGTCCTGAGCTCCACCCCCTCAGCCATAGGACCCAGCCCTCATCGCCCCCAGAAGACGGATGGGGAACTTGGACGCTTGTTTCCCGCATCATTGGGTCTGCCCCCAGGCCCCCAGCCAGCCACTTCCAGCCTGCCCAGTCCTCTCCAGGTGGGCACGGGACTGGGCAGGGAGGGCAAGGACAGCTATGGCCATTGGAAAGGGCAGGGAACTAACAGCTATCTTTCCTCCCCCAGCCCGGCTGGCCCTGTCCTTCCTGCACCTTCATCAATGCCCCAAGCCGCCCTGGCTGTGAGATGTGTAGCACCCAGAGGCCCTGCACTTGGGACCCCCTTGCCGCAGCTTCCACCTAACAGCCACCAGAGGTACCAGAGGTGACACAGGCAGGGGAGGTGAGTGGGGGATGGGTAGGGCAGAATCCACGGGAATGACCCAGCTCCTTCCCAACAGGTTATAAGGGAAGAGTGGCCCTTCCCTCACAGGTGGACATCCCTAGGCCCCCGCTGAACTCAGGGGCCCTCTACTGACTGCTGGGACAGAGCCACCAGGGTTAGGGGGAAGGACCACAAACTGGAACAATTAAAGACCCTTAAGAGCCAGCAAGTGTCTCCTTCATTGTATCTCTGCAGACCTCCCCCAGCCTAGCCAGAGCTACAGGGAGCTAGGCCCTCATCAGCAGGTGGGGCTCCTCCTGCCAGACCAGGTGGTAATGAAGTGGACCAAGACCCTGAGCTTTAGTGGTCAGGAGAGCATGGCATGGGGATCTCTTCCTAGACCTGAGGCCTACAGGGCCCCCACCCAGCTGCTCACCGCAGGGCTGAGGCTGCTGGGGTGTGTCACACACTGAGCTGCAGCCCCCACTGCTGACCTTGCCTCCTACTGGTCCCCCTGGTCCCCCAGGCCTGCACCTCTCCTGCCTGCTGCTCTATTGCCACCACCTTTCTCCCATTCAGCTCTTGTCATCTCTGGACTCTGGCCACTACTCCCTCAGCTCCTGGAGCTAGGACACCAGCAGTGGGTGTTGGCTGGGCTCGGTGGCTCATGCCTGTAATTCCAGCACTTTGAGAGGCTGAGGTGGGCAGATTACCAGGTCAGGAGTAGACCGACCAGCCTGACCAACATAGGGAAACCCTATGTGTACTAAAAATACAAAAATGAGCTGGGCATGGTGGCATGTGCTTGTAATCTCAGTTACTCAGAAGGCTGAGGCGGAGAACGGCTTGAACACAGGAGGCAGAGGTTGCAGTGAGCTGAGATCGTGCCATTACATGATCTTAAAAAAAAAAAAAAGAAATGGGTGTTTTCCTTCCCTTCCTAGGGACAAGGAAAGCTCAGGAGCTGAGTTCTATACCATACTGCAGCAGGGCACTGCTGGGTCACGTCTCTTGACCCTCCTAGATAGCATCCACTGGCCACCTTCCCTGAGCAGCATGCTCTTGTGAGAACCCAGCCACTGTCAGCTTCTGGCCTGAACCCACCACCCAGCTGTCCTAGGGACTGCTAGGAAGGGCCACTCCACGATACACATCCTGCCCATCTCTACCTGATATCCTTCACCTGGGTGGGAGCCATCCCCTTCCTCTCAGCCCAGCCCAACAATAGCCCCCGCTCTAGACCAGGCCTTGCTGAAATGCTGCCAAGGTTCCCTGCTGCCATCAGAATGGAGTTCAACACCAAGTGGTTCAACACCCTGACACTTGGCTGTTCATTCCAACAGGTCCCTGGGCCACATCCAGTCTGGCTAGGCCCTTTTCAGCTCTTTCAGACCCACCCCACCAAATGTTGCCACTTCCTCTAAAATCCAGTTCTCTGCTTTCTGTCCTATAGCCAATACTGTTTGGACTCCTAGCAACCAGTTAGTGCAAAGCAGTGCTGGCCACCCTGCATGGGACATCCTGGGAGCCCTGTGAAGGCAAGGGTCTTGGTATTAGAGTCCCTTGCAAACCTGCACTCCTTCCATATAATAACTCAAATATGTACCTTGAGAAACTTAATTTATTCCCATGATGGAGACTGAAGGAGGGTCCAGAGCTAGAGTCTGGTCTCCTGTCCCCTTCCCTCTTTTTCCAGATGAAGAGGGGCTTAGTCAAATGGGCCAGCTGAGGCCTGAACAGGCCTGGGATGGCTCTTGGGCTTGAGGGCCTGTTCTGGCAGGAAGGCAAGCAGACACTGGACAGGGTCACTTGGGTGGCCGATATGCCAGCTTCCGACTCTTCAGGACTGACCACTTATGCCGCTTCATGGTGTAGATCAGGGGCACCAGCAGACTCATCATCATCAACATCTGAGGATAAGGAAGACTCAGAGAAGGAAGTGGGAGGGAGCTCTGCCCAGCTCCCAGCCCCTCTGATACCCACCATGGCCTTCTCCCAACACTTTTTACCTTGAGCCCCATGCGTTTTCGTTGGTCATGCTCTGGCTCAGATGCCCAGCGCAGGAAGGTGCACACGTCCTTGGCTACCTGGGACATGGTAGCTGGGGTGCCTGGGCCAAGGACAAGTAGTGAGGGCTATTCTCAGTCTCATGCCCAACCTAATATAATTCTCAGTGCACCCTCTCTGTGGAGCAAACAGTGGCCTCTACCCAAGGCATCAAAGGGACAGTACCCCCGACTGGACACAGGCAAAACTGAAGGAGCCCTTCCTGAGACATGCACAGAAGACACCCTACAAGAAGGGGGCAGGACCTCAGGGGCCCAGGAACATAGGGAAGCATCCCTGGGGGTAGTGGAGAAGTATTCAACATGCCCACTCCCAGACTGGAGGCCTCTTACCATCGTCAAACTCCAGGACATCCGTGTAGATGGGAGGGGCCATGCCGATGGCCTGGCCAGGAAAGTAGGGGTTGAAGTAGAGACCTTCCCGCAGTGACACCCCAGTGGGTGGCTCACAGTAGCCCGTGAGCAGGGAGAAGATGTAGTCCTCACCACCATGCCTGGGACCAGATCCATGGCTCCTTAGCCCCAAGCACAAGTCAACCCTCCCCCCACCTCTCTGGCACTACCCCGAGGGCAACTCATGTACCTAGCTCGCACGATGTAGCTGAGGTCAGGGGGCAGTGCTCCGTTGTTGGCAGCTCGAGCCGCCTCAGGGTTGGGGTACGGTTTTGGGAAATAGTCAGACAGCTTTCCTGGCCGCATAAACATCTCCCCATCTTCATTGGGGCCATCTTGAACCTCCACCTGCCACCGAGAGCCTCGTCACAACCTTGCCATCTCACCACAGTGGGAGCCCTGAGCCCTGGGTCCCAGGCATCCCCACACCTCACACCTCCTCAGCCAGCGCCTTGGCTTCGGCCTCCGTGTAGCACACGCCCACCAGGTGGCGGTAAGCCACGTAGTCCATGCTGTGGCAGGAGGAGCACACCTGCTTATATACCTGGAAACCCCTCCGGATGCTAGAGAGAGGAAAGGGTTAGGAACGCTTTAGATTCTCTTGCCAGCTCCACCCAGAACCTCCCCTGCCAGCCAGCCGCACACCTGGTGTGGTCCAAGGAAGAGAGGAGGCCACGGTGAGACCACGGATAGCTGGGGGCGTGCAGCTCCAGGTCACTGGCACTCACAGCCGAATGCAGAGCCAGGGTCAGCCCCGCACCCCCTGCCGCCAGCATGCCCAGCGCTGACAGCATCACCTTCCGGCCTCGGGAAAGGCCAGGCTTCGACGACAAGGGCACTGCCTGCAAGATCTCCGCTTCAGCGCCTGCCAGGACACCACCCACCCTACCTGGGGATCTGACTCTCAGCGCCCACCTCTCCACCCAGCACTGGCCACCGCCTGCAGGGCGCCAGACGCACACTCCGGCCCGCTACCCACCCCATCCCTCTCCGCTGCGGACTCCCAGACCGTGATTCGCTCTCAGGAGGAGGTGTTCCTGGATCCTGAGCCGAGGATCACACCGAAGTGACCAAGGGTGCCGGGGCATGCCAAGGTCACAAGCAGCTGGCCGAGGTCAGGCTTGGGTCACTTCAGGACACGGGCCCAGTTGGGACAGGCAGCCGCAAGAGCCGTCCTGGGCGCGCCATCCGGGAAAGCCCCCGCCCCGCCCCGCCCCGGCGGCGAGCCGGTTCCGCCGACCCCCACGCTCGGGACCAGGCCCCCTGCCTTTCGGAGAGGTGGGCACCCGCCCCTGATCCCACACGCTCAAGGTCGGCAGGCAGCGGGGACCCGGCCGGGCCGGAGGCCGGGACTGCTTCCGCGCTGCCCCAGTCCGCGCCCGCAGCCTCCCCGCCGTGACCTTCAAGGGGCTGCGGGGCCGCGCGGAGGCCGGGACCCGGCCCAGCGCTCACCTGAGGTGTCCGCAGCGGGAGCTGCCCGGGCCGCGCGCTGCACAGCAGCCCCCGGGCACGCGCGCCCGGGAGCCCCGCGCCCCGCGGGCCCAGCACCGCCCCGCGAAGCGAAGCCGCCGCTGACGCCATCTTGGCCTCCTCAGCGCGGCCGCCGATCCCGTCGGCCCCTAGGGCGCCACGCGAGTGGAAACCTCGCGACAGCCGGGGAGCGCAGGGCGGGGACGGGCGTGGGGGCGGAGCCTGCCGGGTGGGCGGGGACGAGGCGCGCTGGCCCGGGTAGCGTCGGTCAGGGGCCGGGGCACCGCCTGCGTCGCCGCGCTCTTCAAAGTTGGCGTGGAAACTGGCGGTGGGGTGGGGCTCCGTCGCGTCTCTCTGTTGCCTTGACAGCGCCCCGCCCCGCCCGGCGTTTCCCACGCCGCCACCTAGACCTCGACGCTCCTTTTCTTGACGTTCCCAGGCTGCGCGGTGGCCCGGTGGAGGCTGCCCCGTGGCCCGGTGGAGGCTGCCCCGTGGTCAGGTGGAGGCTGCCCCGTGGCCCGGTGGAGGCTGCCCCTGCAGGTTGAGGACCTCCAGAGAAAGGGCGGCTTGGCCGGGCAGCGCGGGTGGGGGTTTCACCATGTTGACCAGGATGGTCTCGATCTCTTCACCTCGAGGCCGGGCGCGGTGGCTCACGCCTGTAATCCCAGCACTTTGGGAGGCTGAGGCAGGCGGATCACAAGGTCGAGATGGAGACCAGTATGGTGAACCCCCAGCTCTACTAAAAATTACAAAAATTGGCCGGTGTGGTAGCTCATGCCAGTAATCACAGCACTTTGGGTGGCAGAGGCAAGTGGGTCATCTGAGGTCGGGAGTTTGAGACCAGCCTAACCAACATGGAGAAACCCTGTCTCTACTGAAAGTACAAATATTAGCTGGGTATGGTGGCGCCTGCCTGGAATCGCAGCTACTTGGGAGGCTGAGGCAGGATAATCGCTTGAACCTGGGAGGTGGAGGTTGCAGTGAGCTGAGATTGTGCCATTGCACTCCAGCCTGGACAACAAGAGTGAAACTCCATCTCCAAACAAACAAACAAACAAAAAACAAAGAAAACAGGCATAAATCCTTGTGACCTTGAAGTAAGCAATGGTTTCTTAGATATGACACGAAAAGCATAGGCAACTAAAGCAGTAAGTTGGATTTCCTCAAAATTAAAAACTTTTGTGCAGTAAAGGATGTGATCAAAAAAGTGAAAAGACAACTCAAAATGGGAGAAAATATTTGCAATCATATCCTAAAAGGGCTTCGTGTCCAGAATACATAGAGAACTCTTACAACTTGGAAATTAGAATAACCCAAGAAAAAAAAATGGGCTCATTCTTTAAAGAATATATACAGCACTGGGTGTGGTGGCTCATACTTGCAATCCCAGCACTTTGGGAGGCTGGAGGCAGAAGGTTCGCCTGAGGCCAGAAATAAGAGACCAGCCTGGGCAACATAGTGAGACCTTGCCTTTATTTCTAAATAAAGAATATGCAGCACTTGCCAATAATCACATGAAAAGATGCTTAGTTTCATTAAACATTAGGTAAATGCAAATCAAAACCAAAATGAGATACCACTCCACACCCACTGGGCTGGCTGTAATCTGCAAGATAGACAGTAACAGGGCTGGGTTGTGGGTAACCCGCATATGGGCACCGAGGAAAGAGATCTAATCAGAACCCTGGCACAGTTAGGGTTTGAAGAATTTCTCAGTTTATATGTTACGACTCAGCTATTTCCTTTTATATGATCCTTTATATAATCATATATTAGTTTATAGAATTAGGGCTTGAAGAATCCCTTTATATAATCCTCTATATAAGCATGTAATAGTTGATAGTGTGAGTGCCTAAAGAATATTTCCCTACATATATACCTATAATTATATCTTAGTTCATAATCGGAGGAATGCCTAGAGTGGACACAGTACAGAGCATGAATTAAGGAATAAGCAGCTTATAATCAGAGGAATGCCCGGAGCAGACACAGCGCAGAGGATGATTTAAGGGAAAACAGTTATGCCAGGACAAGAATCCACGGCCCAGGCGGCAGCGTTCAGCTGTGTGGCAGGCTTGGGGCAAGAGCCACTCCTCCTGCTGAAGGAGTTGTAGGACCCTGCTCCAGTTCTTGTGGAGGGCCGCCCTCAGACCAGCAATCCACCTTGGTGACTGTGAACTTTATCAGCTCTTGCTGCTGTGCTGCTCGAAAAGCATCTCCCCATAGAACCCATGGGAAGCTGCCAGCAGGTGGCGGACAGCTCTGTCACTACTGTGTAACTTAAAGCTTATCTTCCTATAAATTTTCTTAGAAGTATTTTGCCCATAGATAGAAGTCTTGCACACTGCACCCTCCTCACTGCGCACGGCCCACCTTCAAGCCTCGGTGACCTAATGGAGGTGGACCCCTTACTGCGCACGGCCCTTGCCTTCATGGGAACGGGCCCCTTGCTGTGCACTGTCCACCTCCTGGCCTAGGTGACCTAATGGGGGTGGACCCCTTGTTTTATTGCTGATGACCCTATCACTATCCTTAAAGATTATTTCACTCACTGCCCTGCCTCCTAACCTATACGTAATAAATACTCAGGCTTCTGGACATTCGGGGCCTTGCCTGACTCCACTTATAGGTGGCGTGGCCCCCTGAGCCCAGCTGTGTTTTCCTTGTACTTCTGTGTCCTCTTTATTTCGTGGATCCTGCACCTCAGCACAGCATAAGGCACACCCCCACGACCCTGTGGGCCATTGCAGTACACTGGGTGCAGTGGCTTACGCCTGTAATCCCAGCACTTTGGGAGCCTAAGGCGGGCAGATCACCTGAGGTCGGGACTTCAAGACCAGGCTGGCCAACATGGAGAAACCCCATCGCTACTAAAAGCTCAAAATTAGCCAGACGTAGTGACACATGCCTGTAATGCCAGCTACTTGGAAGGCTGAGGCAGGAGAATTGCTTGAACCTGGGAGCAGAGGTTGCAGTGAGTCAAGATTGTGCCATTGCACTCCAGCCTGGGCAACAAGAGCAAAACTCCGTTTCAAAAAAAGAAAAGAAAAAAAGATGGACACTAGCAAGTGTTGATAACACCATGGAGACACTGGAAGAGCCAGTCACAAAAGACCATGTACATGATTTTATTCACGTGATGGTACACAGTAGGTAGATCTATAGAGGCAGAGAGATCAATAGTGCCAGGGGCTGGGAAGGGAGAGAGATGGGGAGTGAATGACAATGGGTATAGGATCTCTTTCAGGGGCAATGAAAATGTTCTGCAGAGCCAGGTAGGAGTTGGACACGCTGGTCTTGGAGACCAGGGTTAGGAGTTTCACTTTATTCTGTGAATGATGGGCATCCCCCAGAGTTTTACACTCAGCCTGGTGTTAAAGATCTCTACGACTGCTGAATGGGCACTGAGGAGACAGGTGTGGCTGGGAAACAGCAGAGTAGGCAAGGCAGGAGACCAAACAGTAAAGATGGAGGGACGTGGGCCCATGAGAAATATCAGGGAGGAGGTGAGGGGCAGTGGCTCATGCCTGTAATCCTAGCACTTTGGGAGGCTGAGGTGGGCAGATCACCTGAAGTCAGGAGGTCAAGACCAGCCTGGCCTTCACATAGCGAAACCACATCTCTACTTAAAAAAAAAAAATAGGCCAGGCGCGGTGGCTCACGCCTGTAATCCCTGCACTTTGGGAGGCTGAGGCAGGTGGATCACAAGGTCAAGAGATTGAGACCATCCTGGTCAACATGGTGAAACCCCATCTCTACTAAAAATACAAAAAATTAGCTGGGCATGGTGGCGCGTGCCTGTAATCCCAGCTACTCAGGAGGCTGAGGCAGGAGAATTGCCTGAACCCAGGAGGCAGAGGTTGTGATGAGCCAAGATCGCGCCATTGCACTCCAGCCTGGGTAACAAGAGCGAAACTCTATCTCAAAAAAAAAAAAAAAAATGAACTCTTAGGTTTAAACAATCTCACCTTAGCTGGCCTCCCTTTTTTTTCTTTTAATGCAGAGGCTTCTGGAGATGGCTTTGCTTTGGTCTGCTGTGTGGGTGACTGTGGCCCTGACCGGTGGCTGTGGTTCTGTGGTTTTCTGTCTCAAAAAAAAAAAAGCAGGATGTGGTGGCACATGCCTGTAATCTCAGCTACTTGGGACACTGAGCCAGAAGAATCCCTTGAACTCCAGAGGGAAGGTTGCAATGAGCCAAGATCTTGGCATAGCCCCCAGCCTGGGTTACAGTGAGACTCCATCAAAAAAAAAGGGGGGAGAAATGTGGAGGTTGAGCCCGTATCATTACTGAAAATCAGAACAGAAGTCCTGCCTCCCTAACAAAGCAACTCTGCCGTTCTCAATGTTCCACCCCCCACCTTTTTCCTTTTTTTTAAGAGGAGTCTTGCTCTGTCACCCAGGCTGGAGCGCAGTGGATGATCTTGGCTCACTGCAACCTCTGCCTCCCAGGTTCAAGCAATTCCGCTGCCTCAGCCTCCTGAGTAGCTGGGATTACAGGTGCATGACCCTACACCTGGCTAATTTTTTGTATTTTTTAGTAGAGATGGGGTTTCACCGTGTTAGCCAGGATGGTCTCAATCTCCTGACCTTATGATCTGCCCACCTCATCCTCCCCAAGTGCTGGGATTACAAGTGTGAGCCACCGAGCCCAGCCTATGGTTATCTTTCAACACTTGTATAGGCAGAGAAGTCTGTACAGACATACTCAGAACACAAGCGAGGTTTCCTGTAGCTTTTTTCCCCACTTATGTATTTTCATGATTTGTCCTTTAAGTGACTGCCAAAGTCCTGTTAAAAACAATTGAGGCAGCCGGGCATGGTGGCTCATGCCTATAATCCTAGCATTTTGGGAGGCCAAGGTGGGTGGATCACCTAAGGTCAGGAGTTCGAAATCAGCCTGGCCAATATGGTGAAACCCTATCTCTGCTAAAAATACAAAAAAATTAGCTAGGTGTGGTGGCACATACCTGTAGTCCTAGCTACTCAGGAGGCTGAGGTAGAATTGCTTGAACCTGGGAGCTGGAGGTTTCAGTGAGCTGAGATTTTGCCATTCCACTCCAGCCTGGGCAACACAGTGAAACTCAGTCTCAAAAGAAAAGAAAGCTAAAAACAATTGAGGAAGCCAGGTGCAGTGGCTCATGCCTGTAATCCCAGGACTTTGGGAGGCCTAGGTGGGTAGATATCTGAGGTCAAGAGTTTGAGACCAGCCTGGCTAACATGGTGAAACCCCACCTCTACTAAAAATACAAAAAATTAGCCAGACGTGGTGGCATGCACCCGTAATCCCACTACTCTGGAGCCTGAGGCAGGAGCATTGCTGAACCAGAGAGGCAGAGGTTCCACTGAGTCAAGATCGTGCCACTGCACTCCAGCCTGGGCTACTCTGTCTCAAAAACAAAACAAAACAAAAAACCAAAAAGATTGAGGCCAAAGCCCAGCTAAAATGCCTGGAGGGTGATTTTGTATATGTCATCTTACAAAGAGAACAGATCTCCACACGGAGATTTCTTCTTGGAAAATAAGAGACTGACAGATGAGTCTCCCCTGCTGATTTAGCAGGGAAGGCCCCTGTGATGCCCACCTAGGAGGTGCTCCTAGGGGCACCAAGAGGCAGGGGAAACCAGCGAGGCTCAGGTGGGGACTGAAGGCATCCACCCAGCCTCAGAGGAGGTATTCACTGGAGAAAGTGACTAGAGGCTGCAAACTTGGGGACAAGTGGGCTGAAGATAGGCAAGTTAATTACGAGGCTGCCAGTCACAGTGGGGTTGATACCCCATCATCCCTACCAAGCCTCAAGCAATGCTAGACACAGAGAACACGAGCCCACCCAGCAGGCATGTGTTTCCTCTGCAGAAACTCTAGAAAACTACCGAGGTGTTCACCCTGGGAGCTATCTGCTGATCCACCAATTGTGGAGCCCCATCAACAGGCCAACCCCCCACACCAGGGGTCCCAAGTCAAGGGGAGCCTCCCACAGGAAGACATGCCCCAGTGAAGAGGCAGTGGCCTAGAATGGGGCACAGGGAGGACACCCGCCTCAGAACCTCACAGACATGCCATTTGGGGTCACTGTACTGAAAGGACCCTGGCCCTTAGTTGATTCTAACAGATGCTGTGGCTTCTCCAGGCAGCACAGCTGATTCCGACACTGAGGCCTGGGCATGGTTGTGTGTGGCTGCGGCACCTTTGCCTTCCTGTGACCAGAGGGCTCTCCAGCCACAGCACCAAGGTCTCTGACATGGCCCTGGCATCACCAAAAGGCTACAGGTTTCTCCTTTCGGAACAGATGGTGGTCTTCCCAGTTCCTTTCAGAGTCCTGGTATAAAAGCCTGCTTCTTTCCATGCTGGCCTGTCAGTGCCCTCACCCATGGCGCTCTTGTCCCAGTGCCCTTCCTGCTCCTGGGTACTGTCCCCACTGTGTGGCCTGCCCTGCCCCTTGTGGGCATCTCACCTGGGCTGACTCAACTCCAGGGAAACCAGGCCAGGCCATGTGCTCCTCCCTGCTTCATCCCAATCCCACCCCAAGGCTCTAGCCTTGCCTGGGCCCCATGTCATGCACCCTGGGCCTCCTCTGCAGGGCTCTAGCTCCAGCCTCTTAGCCCCAGCAGTAAAGATGGTGTCAGGTGGTCTCTGGGTGCCTCAGCTCGTCACCCTGGCCATGGTGTATTCTCCTTCCCAGCACCACACAGCAATGCACACAGCCCTGAGTCTGGATGGCATCCTCCAGACTGAGAGAGTGCGCCTGGGGCTCACTTCCCAGGGCTGAGGCAGCAGCAGAGTCCTGGTGGGCAGGAATGCTACCTGGTAAGTGGACTACAGCAGCCCTGGCCAGGGAGCTGTGAGGGAATGCCAAGCTCTGCAGGCTTCTCGCCCCCGTGTCTTGGGGCCCTACATGGACAGTGGGCCAGAAGCTCAAATAGCAGCTGAAACACACACTTGTTTATTTCCCTGGAAGGAGGCAAAATGGGGTCCTTGGGGAGTCTCTGTCCCAGCCTGGTGCCCTGGACAGGAAGATCTCACTTCCAGAAGAGCACATTCCAGAAAAGCAGCCAGCAGGGGTAGAGGCCCAGGGACAGCAGTGGGAAGAGCAGGGCACCGTAGGTGTGATGCTCCAGCACACCCTGGGCCAGTGCTGCCAGGAAAAGCTGCCAGCCCTCGGCCAGTGACAGTGGCGCTTCCTGCAGTTCCCGCCACAGGAACAGGCTGCCAAAGAGCGTGGCTGCCGGGCTTGTCAGCACCAGCAGGGCAGCATAGAGGGTCCTGAGTGGAGAATCAACATCAGGGTAGGCTCCAAGGTGGGGACAGGGGCACCGAGTTGGGGAAAAGGGCTACTGAATGAGGGTGAGGGTGCGGTCTGTGGGGAGGGCACAGGCACTGGTGGAAGTGGGGCTGATCCATGCATACCGGGACCCATGAGGCTTGGCAAGCGCAGCAGTGGGCACCATAGTGGCGGCCAGCAGGAAGCCCAGTGAGAAGTTGGTGAGGGCGATACAGCCCAGCTGCAGTGCTAGGTAGATAAGGGCCACAAGCTTCAGTGCCATCCAGCCCCTGTCTGGGGCCTGTGTGCTCACCACCCTGCAAGACAACAGACTCAGAGGCAGCCCACAGGCTGTCTTCATGTCCAAGGGACCTCTACCCTCACCCGCCCAGCCCAGCCCCTCTCACCGGTGGGTGTTGTGGGGCAAGGCCAGGCCAGCTGCATAAATCGCCAACAGTGTCAGCACCACAGCCTCAGCCTCTGCCACTGGGAAGTGCTGGGCGGCCACATGTTGACCCAGCACTGGCAGGACATAGAGGGCCAGTCCCATGGCCTGCGAGATCAGCAGAGGTGCCACAAGCGAGGCCAACCCCACACCCTGCAGGGCACACAGACTCTTGGAGATGGGTCCTGAGGCAAAGGGATCCCCAAAGACCACCACCACCCCACCAGCTGAGGTTAAGTTGCAACAGTAAACACCAGTCAGACCCTGGAAGCCCACTCTAACAACAGAAGGGGGTGCCATCACCTGTGCACTGGGGCCAGGGCTCCCCCTGGGCTCCTCAAGGCCCACTCCAGCTTCATGCAGCTGCATCCACAGTTCCAGAGCGTAGGCCAATCAAGGACCCCAACAAGAGGTGTGATGGGATCTGCCCAGAGGGGACCCAGGGCTCACCCCTATACCCTACCCCCCCATCAGGATGGAGGACTTTCCCCAGCCTAGAATTGAAGAAACTGGAGGCTCTGCCACAAGTAGATGTCATGGGGTGGAGGATATCTTGAGACCAAGGACCAGGAGCAAGAAGCCGGCGGCGGGCATGTAGAGGCCAATGGAGACGAAGCGGGAGAGGGCAGGGAGCAGGTAGAGGAAGAAGGACTGGTGTAGGCGCTCCAGGAGGTGGTTGAGCTTACGGAACATGCCCTCCAAAGCCCTGTCAGGTGTGGGGTAGGTTCATGGCTGGCCAGAGCCACCAGGCCATGCCCCACTCCGCCCCAGCTGGACACCATCCTGGGCATGGAAAGGGGGGACCAGAGACTACTTACTTGCCCACTGCCACCAGGTCATACTTGTACTGGCGGAAGCTATTGATGCCACGCAGGGTTAAGGCCTCCACGCGGTAGCGCAGGAAGAGGCCATGGGAGCCATGAGGGCGGCCGGAGGCCTGCCGCAGAACCATGAGCAGCAGCATCTGCAGGCCCTGCAGTGGTCCGTCCAACGAAGTCCAGTCTTGGGGCTGCAGCTTTAGAGATGTAGGACAGGATCAGCTCCTCTCACAGACCCTGTGCCCTACAGCCCTCAGGCAGGCAAACCCACCTTGCCCTGAAGTGTGCACAGCAGGCCCCCTTTCTGGCAGAAGGTTTGGAAGAGATTGAGCAGGTCAAGGTTGGGCAGCTGCCCGTTGAGCCCCTCCACAGCCACATCGAGGCTGGTGACCATATCACTGCTCAGCTCCAGGGCCACAGCGGCCTGAATGGCCCCAGCTCGGCCCTGCAGTGGGGATGACTGCATGCCTGTGAGAGCAAGTGAAGGAACGCCAATGGGGGATCTGGTGAGGACAGCGGCCCTGAGAGGGGAACCAGGGCAGGAAAAGAGAACCTACCAGTGACATTGACATCGTGGTAAGCTTCAAGCCAAGCCTCAGTACCCAGAAGGTCATATTCTGTTACCAGGAAGATGATATCTTTGGCCCAGTATATCTGCCCTGGAGGCCAGAAGCAGGATCAGCAGGGCCTGGGGCACTGGCCAAACCCCTCCCTGGCCAGCAGCCCTGAGCCTCACCCCGGAAGTGGGCAGCCAGTGCCAACAACAGCCCCACAGCCTGGCTGTTGGTAGAGTCAGAGCCACAGGGCACGGTGAGCACAAGCGACTCGGTGCTGGCAGCACGCGGGGCCCGCAGAATGCCGTACACGTTGGTGCCTGACACCATCTGTATGGAGTATCGGAGGGAAGAGCCTCAGTGTAATCTTGTGGTAGGGGCCGAAGGTTCGCCGCCCCCCGACTTTCCTAGCCCTCCAATGCCCACCAGGGATTTCTCTCCCACTGAACTTTCCGGCCCCATGACATCCCCCAAGGTGATACCCAGCCCAGACCCCTCCCTCCAAGGTGCTTTCTGGGCACCCCCCCTGCCCCCCGCCGATACATAGCGCTCGTGGGTCTCATCTGGGAAGGGCAGTTTCCGGGAGAAGCTCTGCGTGTAGACCTCCAGCCCGACTGACCGCATGGTCCGTTCCAGCCAGGCCACTGGCAGCGCCCTGCAGACACGAAGGGAGCCACTGAGCAGAGCTCCGGCCTCAGCCACCACGGCCTGCGCCACACGCACTGCTCTGCCGCTCACCCCGACTTCCTGCGGTGGGCGGCGAAGTCCCGGGCAAAAGCCCGGGCACGGTCTCCGCCCGCAAACTGCTCCTCCACCATGGTGGAGCCCATGGCGTTCTCCGACATGTAAGTGCGCTGGGTCAGCGGCGGGAAAGCGAGCGCCAAGAACCAGGCGATGCCCGCCAAGTAGCTCAGCACGCTGTGGGAGAGGACGGAGGGGCACCGAAGCGTCAGTGGGTCCTGGGGCGCCGGCCCGAGCCAATCTCCGCACCCGGGGAAGACCGCGCGGGTCCGAGACTTAGACCCAGAGTCCGGCATCGGGACGCCGGACGGGAGAGCTGAGCCTGCGCCGGACACCCTCGGTGCTTCTAGGGGGCAGGAGCGGAGGGGCGCGAGCAGCCGGAGGGGTCCCGGCCCTCGATGGGGACCGCGCGAGTCCGGGGCCCGCGGGTCCCCGCCTCCCCGGACCCTGCCCTCACCACAGCGGCGCGTTGAGGCGCAGCACGAGGCGGGCGAGCGCGCGCCGGCGCACCGGGTCCGACAGGAGGCCCATGGCTGGGCAGGGCGGCGCGGCTACTAGCCCTCTCGCGCCTCCGACTGCCGCCGCGGCGCCCGTAGGCGACTCCTGTCAGACCCGGGGACGCGCGCTCGCCCGCACTTCCGGTCCCAGCGACGCCCGCGGCGGCGCGCATGCCCAGAGCACAGGGCGCGCCCCCAACGCTCTACGGCCGGCGCGCAAGCCCAGAGCAGCGGTCGGCCGGAGCATTGGCTGTGCTGGTGAAGGCGGGTTTCCGAGTTCGCTGGGCGCTGCCTCCAGGAGAGTCGGACCGGGAGTGCACCGACCCGGAGGCAGGCGGGTGGCCCTACGGCCGTGAAGAGCAGAGATGCCCGAGCTGGTCAGGGGACGGCTGGAAGGCCCGCAGGAGTCAGAGGCGATGAGCCGGGCAGGGGGTGGAAGGCCGGATGCCAAGCATGTTAGTGACTCAGGACGTCCCAGTGGAGTCACAGCGTGAGCCCAGCACCAAGGTTTCGAGTCAGATGACTGCAAAGATGCTGATGGCACTACTGGAGCTGGGGTGTGCGCAGCATAAAGTGGGGAGCATACCATCCCTGTCTGTGCCAGGAGACCCTTGGAATATTAGGGGAGAAGCAGCCCCAGGGTCCAGACTGCAGGAGCGGGTAGTCAGGGCTTGGCCAGATCTGTGGGTCAGAGGTGGATGAAGGCGGAGTTTGCTCAAGAAGAGGGTGCAGTTTGGGAAGCTGAGGTGGGAGGATCCCTTGAGACCAGCCTGGACAACAAAGTGAGACCTAGTCTCTACAAAAAAGCTTTTAAAACTAGCCAGGTGGAGTGGGGCATGCCTCTAGTCTCAGCTCAGTTACTCAGGAGGCTAAAGGGGGAGGATTGCTTGAGCCTGGGAGGTCGAGGCTGTAGTGAGCCGTGATCACACCACTGCACTCCAGCCTGAGTGACAGACCAAGACCATGTCTCAACAAACAAAAATGTGGTGGGCAGAAAGAGTCAAAGCTGAAGACTCCATATGAGAACAGGTTTTTTTGTGTGTGTGTAAGACAAAGTCTTGCTCTGTCACCCAGGCTGGAGTCCAGTGGTGCAACCTCTGGTGTGGGGTTTGGCCTCCCAGTTCAAGCAATTCTCTTGCCTCAGGCTCCCAAGTACCTGGGGCTACAGGTGCCCACTATCACACTAATTTTTATATCTTTGGTAGAGATGGGGTTTCACCATGTTGGCTAGGCTGGTCTCGAACTCCTGACCTCTACTGATCCATGAGAACACGTTTTTTGTACTTTTATTTTTTTAGATGGAGTCTTGCCCTATTGCCCAGGCTGGAGTGCAGTGGCACGATCTCGGCTCACTGCAACCTCCACTTCCCAGGTTCAAGAGATTTTCCTGCCTCTGCCTCCCAAGTAGCTGGGATTATACAGGTGTGTGTTACCACCTCAGCTAATTTTTGTATTTGCAGTAGAGATGGGATTTTGCCATGTTGGCCAGGCTAGTCTCAAATTCCTGACCTGAAGCAATCCATCTGCCTCAGCTTCCCAAAATTCTGGGATTACAGGTGTAAGCCACTATGCCTGGCTTTTGTACTTTTAGAGTCCAGGGTAAGCAGCAGGAAAAGCCCAAGGGGTTCCAAGCCATAGTCCACAGGCTGTGGGACATGGCTACCCACATCTCTAGGGTGGGTACCCAGAGCCAGCTGAGTTTTTCCTCAGCCCTTTGCTCAGGGCTCCCGATGTGCTGGAGTAAGAATAGATTCCTCAGTCTAATGGCCTGGCTCATCTTGCCAGGCCCTGCCTCTTACTCAGCTGCCTTGAGTCCTTACTGGGACATGCTGCTTTTTCCACCCAGGAACTATCTCTCCTCAACCCCCTAATCCACTGTTCTCTTCAGGGTTTCAATCAGGATATACAGAGATAGACAGTTCTCTATATAAGAGGGTCCCTGGTCATTCCCAGTAGCCAGTACCAGGCCAGGCTCTGCAGGGCTTCACATAGCTCCAAAGTGCTGTTGGGTGATCAAAGTACAGTGAGGAGTGTGTGGGCGGAGGAGGGTTTTATTCTGGACATGGGTGGCAGGGTGGTCAATCCCCCAGCAAGATAGAGGCCTCACGCACATGCTGCCGGACAACTCGGTCCAAGAGGATGTGCACATCTTGAGCAGCCTGGGCAGCAGCCTCCAACACCTGCTCCAGGTGGTCCTCATGCAGCCGGGCATCCATCTCAAGCAGCGCAATCTGGCCTGAAGCTGGCAGCAGGGCCAGGGCCAGCTGGGGGCCACCAGCTGCTTCCTCCACATGGCTGAGGTCTGCCAGGGCTGTGCCGTCCACGAAGCCAGCTGAGCACGCACACACAAAGTCTCTCATGGGTATGCCAGCATCCAGCACTGCCAGCGTGGCTGCATTCACACACGCTGCGTAAGTCCCACCATCTGCCTGTAGCACCTGCGAGGACCCCAGGGTGTCAGTTCATCAGACTCCCTCCTCAATCCCATCACACTCTTCCCTCCCTGGATTGCAGGCTGCAGCCGGCTCACCTGCACATAGATATCAATCTGGGAGCGTGGGTGCAGCTGTGTGAGGATGGCTGCTTCGAAAGTCTGGCGGAGTTGTAGGCCCATCTCACAGGACTTACGGTCCCCATGTGGCCGTCGCTTGCGCTCACCGGTGCTGAAGGTCGCTGAACTATATTGACAGTTCACTAGGGCCCTGTCTGGCAGGGCTCGAGCCCGCGAGCCCCGGATCTGGAAGAAGATGGACACATGAGCCAGGCCCACTTCTTCCAGCTCACACTCCACTGTACTCTGGGGGTCTGCCTCTCCTTTCACTTTCAAGGCCTCAGCAAGAGGCAACTACTTTACCTCCAAAACAAAGCCCCCTGTTTTGCTCGTTTTTCCTCCTGGCATGCATCTTTTAGTTGGCTGCTTTGTGTCCATCCTTGTCCCATTCCCTTCCAGCCCAAGTTTACAAACATCAAGGCTGATTCTATCTCACGTACACACTCAAATCCTAATTAACTTACGAAGGCGTTACATTACATGTGAAATAAAATCCCAAATCCTTTCCCTGGTCTACAAAATCCCAAGTCCTCACCTCCCCGGAAACACTCTACTTTAATTTGGAGTTACCCCCTTTCCCCACCAGCAGTCTTTCTGCTCTGCCTAAGTGCTATGCTTGTTTTCACCCCCGTGGTCTTCGCCCTCGTGCTTCCCTGCGCCTAGAAAGCAGAGCTCCCACAGCCATGCGCTAAGCACATTTTCAATACCTTTGCTGGCCAGGCACTGTTACAGCGCTGGGAACCGCAGTGAAACCATAGAGTTTCATGTAAAGTTCCTGTCTTTAGGAAGCTTATGTTCCAGCAAGGAAACAAAGGTGAACGTGCTTAAGCAAAACAGGCGTTTGAGATCGTAGGTGCACAAAAGACAAGGAAGGGTTTATTGTAGGGAGGGGAAGTACCGCGTGGATAAGGTTGTCTGGGGAGGAGTGACGTCGGAGTAGAGCTGAGAGGTGACGGGGCGAGTGGGGGAGCTGAAGAGCCGCAAAGAGAAGGGAGGGCGCAGGGACAAGCCGATGAGAAAGGCAGGACCACCGCTCAGTGCACTAAGGACTTGCGTTTACTCCGAGTGACATGCGGTGCTGAGCATCGGCTGTGTGGTCGGAGGCGCGCCGGCCGTTGCCCCTCAAGTCCCTGAGCCTGTGCTCAGCCCGGCTGCCCTGCGGCTCCGCGACCGCACGATTTCCCCTCCCACTCGCCTCGTGCGGGCCGTAGACCACCGCCAGCGCCTTGGTGTTGCCCTGCTCGATGTAGGCCGAGCCGTCAGCCTGCGCGAACACGCCCATCCGCGCCTGGATTTTGCGCAGCTCCCCGGCGCGCCGCCCGTCCACCCGGTAGCCCTGGTCCGATAAGAGCTCCAGCCCCGCCATTCCGCCCGGCCGCCAACTCCCTCTCGGCTTAGTTCTCTGAGCCGCTGGAGAACTGGAGAACTAGAGCTCCAGGCGGCTACGACTTCCCCGGATCTACGGTTTCCGGTGGTCCTCTGTCACTTCCGGGTCCGCGGAACTGCAACTCCCCGCGGCCCCGACTTCCCCGGATCTATGGTTTTCGGCGGTCCGTTGCCACTTCTGGTCCCGGGAAACTACAGCTAACCGCCGCCCCGAGGTCCCCGGATCTAAGATTTCCGGCGGTCCGTTGCCACTTCCGGTCCCGGGAAACTACAGCTACCCGCGGCCCCGACCTCCCAGGATCTACGGTTTTCGGCGGTCCGGCTCTGCTTCTGTCTCCGGGGAGCTGCAGCGGCTCTGTCGGGGAAGCGGGGGCTAGGCCCGCGGCCGTTCCCGGAGCTGTGCCACGGGTGCCAAGAAGTGGGCGCCCGCTGAAGGAGGAATTCCGAAGCCACGCCCTCGGGACCAATGGTGCCTGCATTATTCAGCCTTCCCCGCACTGTAAGTGTGAAAGTGGAAGGATGAACTTAGTGGTTGCAGCATTGACTGACAGGAGAAGAGAAGGCATTGAGGGGTCCTAGGAAGGTGACCGGGCTGGTGTCCCAGCATGGTCCACACCTGGCACCTCCATTCCTCCCTTGCCCTCCGTTACACCGAGCTCCCACACTGCAGTCAAGTGGGCCTCCCGTTTCCCTTTGAGGATGCTGATTCCTCATCCTTTCCAAAGAGGCGTTGTATGTCTGTTTATCTCTTGCCACCTAACCTCAGTGGCTTCGAATAACATGATTATTTTATGATGTTCTGCAGTCTGGTGTTACCTAGGCTCAGCTAGGTAGTTTGCATTTAGGATCTCTCCTGCAGTTCCTGCTAGATGGTGGCTGGGGCTGGAGCCATCCTCAAAGTTTTCTCCCTCATATCTTCGGTGACTGATGCTGGTGGCGGGCCAGGACCTCACGTGTGGCTGTTAGGCAGCACACCTACATGTGGCTTCTACATGCAACCGAGGCTTCCTTGCAGTATGGCAGTTGGGTTCCAAGGGTAGCCTTCCAAGACAACAAGGTGGGCGACGTGTGTGGTATTTTTATGACCTAGCTCAGAAGTCATATAGTGCCACTCTTGCCAGACTCTGGGGTCAAGTCAGTCAGACAAGTCTGCCCAGGCTTAAGGGATGGGGATCTATGACCGCCAAGGCAGGAGCGAAATACCTCAGCCTATTTCCATATAAATAATGAAGAAGAAAGTAACTAGAAATATAACCATAGTAGTTATTAGTTATTCATAGGTGATCTTAGTTATTTATAGGTGATCTTAATTCTTTTACTAATGCCTATCAGGTCGGAAGTGTGAACCTGGGGTGACATTGTGAAATGAATGACACTAAGGCAAGATGCTCTAAGCCCTCTGTCACGCCTAGGAAGGGCTGCTGGAGGGCACCTCGGCCGTGCGGCAGCTCCAGTGCTGTGAAAGCGCCCACTGTTTAGCCAGCTAGGGAAGGAGATGTCCAAGATGGCTGAGATGTCTCCTTCCTGGGGAAGTTAGGAGAAAACTCCACTTCTCCAAGCTCTTGTGGTAACGCCTGACAGTTGCCAGGAGGCCCACAGACATCAGGGGCTTAACTCTCTCTGTGTGATGCTGTGCTTCAGCGGTCACATACCAGGTCCACTCTCATGTTCTGCTTCTGCACCTGGCTTCTTTTTTTCTTAGGAAAGATAATCAGTAACAGTCATATAAATCTTAATGTTTTAGTTCTTTCTTGGTAAGTATGGAAAAGACGCTGATGAATTATGCTTCTTGCCTCACTTTGGGGGCCAGAAATTCCTGAGCCTCTACCTGAATGACACATGATGTACTTGACCCTATCACTGCCACGTACTATCCACCCTGCCCCCAGTCTCTGACCACCAAGGCCGCCACATCCTACCTACCTTGCCCCCAGATTTGCAACTCAATAAAAGTGAGAGTGTCCCGTCTGGCATTCGGGGCCACTGCTGGTCTCCACGACCTGGGTAGCAGTGGACCCCTGGGCCCAAACTCTCTTTTCTCTATCTCTGTGTCTTGTGTCTTTTATTTCTACAATTTCTTGTCTCCACACCAGCCAAGAGGGACTCACAGAACCCTGTAGGACTGGACCCTGCAGGGACCTGGACCCCACCCTTCAGTGGTATGAGTGTCAGCATGACACTAAGAAGAGCAGGTGAGCTAGGGCAATGCAGTCTGCTACAGGTGCCCAATTTCAGTAGTCACAGCATCCCCTCGAGGTGGTTCTGCTCTCCTGAAAGACAGAGGCATTCGAGTGAGTGAGTGAGTCACAGCCCTACTGCAGCTGGTCTGAGGCCATGATGGGTCACCATCCTCTGCCACTGGGCACCCCCGATTTCCCACCCTCTGCTCTGCAGACAGACACTGCTTACTGTGGAGCAGCCCAGGTGGTGCCACATCAGCCTACTATGCCATCCACCTCTTGGGTTCAAGTCTTTCTTGTATCTTAGCCTTCCAAGTAGCTGGGATTACAGGCACCTGCCACCATGCCTGGCTATTTTTTTTTTTTTTTTTGAGTCGGAGTCTTGCTGTTACCCAGGCTGAAGTGCAGTGGCACCGTCTCAGCTCACTGCAACCTCCACTTCCTGGGCTCAAACAATGCTCCTACCTCAGCCTCCCAAGTAGCTGGGATTATAGGCAGTCACCACCATGCCCTGCTAGCCTTTTTCTTGTATTTTTAGTAGAGACGGGGTTTTACCATGCTGGTCTTGAACTCCTGACCTCAAGTTATCCACCTGCCTCAGCCTCCCACAGTGCTGGGATTACAAGTATGAGCCACTGTGCCCGGCCAATTTGATGTATTTTTAGCAGAGACGGGGTTTCGCCATGTTGACCAGGCTGGCCTCGAACTCCTAACCTCAGGTGATCCACCCACCTCGGCCTCACAGAGTGCTAGGATTACAGGTGTGAGCCACCACTCCCAGCCATGACTGGGTGGTTGTTGCGGCTGTCCATTGACAGTCCTTGCCACACGCAGGAAGACTAGACACCTAGGGAGTTCTGTCGGCTGCCCGGCCTAGTTGTGTAGCACTGGTGTTAGCGACTCAGGACAATGAGGACGTTGTCAGTCTTCAGCCTAAGAAGCCTAAAGTGGGCCAGTGAGAGCTGCTACTTCAAGATCAGTGGAACCTTTGCTGTGTTCCCTGGTGGAAGTGTTCACCTTCAGGAACTAGGGTCTCCAAACTGGCAGTATCCCAGGTTTAGAATCACGAGGCCACTCCGACCTCACACCTTTGGATCTCTGACCCGTGTACTCTAGCTTAGGGCACACACATGGGTTGATTCAAATTTCGGAGGCCTAAAGCTTATACGAACTCAGGGGCCGGGAGAAGTATCCCCAAGACATCTCTGGAGTCATTGATTTGCTAGAAGGACTCATAGGACTCACTATAGACTTGTCTTCATGAATCAGCAAAGGGAAAAAGTGCATGGGATGAACTGCAGGAAATCACGCGTGAGCTGGCCAAGTCCTCTCCTGGTGGACTCCACAGGAAGAAGCGGGGGCAGTGTGTGTGAAATGCTGTCTGCCAGGGAAGCTTCTTAGACATTCAGTGTCCTGGGGTTTTATGGAGGGCTGGTCACATACGCAGTCTGGGCCAAGCACACGCCCAAATTCCAGACTCCCAGAAGCAACACAGGTGTTCAGCATGAGCCGCGTTTGTGCAAATAGTCTAGGCACAGTGAAACACACTTACTAGAGGGTGAGGGGAACCATCCCATAGCCCAGGTTCCCAGACACCAACTCTCCAAGCTTGCCTGTGAAGAAGAGCTTCTCAGTCCTGCTGTTAACTCTTCTACACAGACTTCTTTTGAAACACAAAATTATGTATCTAAAAGTGAGTGAGAAAATATGTTCTGACACGTAACATTTTAAAAGTTGACAAATACCTCAAACATCACAGAATGCAGAAAACCTGCCTGACACAACTGATTCCAACAGGTTTCCCTACATTTTTTTTGATGCATTCTCTGATGCTCTCTCTTTTATTTTTTTTTTAAGATGAGGTTTCACCATGTTGATCAGGCTGGTCTTGAACTCCCAACTTCAGGTGATCCACCCGCCTTGGCCTCCAAAATGCTTGGATTACAGGCGTGAGCCACTAAGCCCAGCCTCTCTAATGCTCTTTTTCCCTTCCCTCCCTCCCTCCCTGTCTCTCTCTTTTCTTTCTTTCTTTTTTTCTTTTGCGAGAGTCTCACTCTGTCACCAGGCTGGAGTACGGTGGCACCATCTCAGCTCACTGCAACCTCTGCCCCCTGGGTTCAAGTGATTTTCCTGCCTCAGCCACCCAGGTAGCTGGGACTACAGGCAGGTGCCACCACGCCCAGCTAATTTTTGTATTTTTAGTAGAGATGGGGTTTCATCATATTGGCCAGGATGGTCTCGATCTTTTGATCTCATGATCCGCCCACCTCAGCCTCCCAAAGTGCTGGGATTACAGGCGTGAGCCATCGCGCCTGGCCCTCCGATGCACTCTTAAGATGATGACACTTTTATAATGTAACCTTCTATATGTAGAAAGAAGATGGCAGACACAGTGGCTCATGCCTGTAATCTCAGCACTTTGGGAGGCAGAGGCAGGAGGATCAGTTGAGCCCAGGAGTTCAAGATCAGCCTGGACAACATGGCAAAACCCCATCTCTACAAAAAATTAGCTGGACACGGTGGTGCACACCTGTGGTCCCAGCTACCTGGGAAGCTGAGGTGGGAGAATCACTTGAGCCCAGGAGGTCGAGGCTGCGGTGAACTGTGGTTGCACCACTGCGCTCCAGCCTGGGCAACAGAATGAGACCCTGTCAAAACAAAAAATCAAATAACAAAAACGAAGACAGAAAACGATTCCGTTTCTCCTCTAACATGTTTAATCGAAATTTAATTTTATTACCTAAGTTGCTTTCAGGTAAAGCTCCTTTGGGTAATATGTACATTTTTTTGAATTGTCATTAAATTTGAGAAAACTACTTATCAAATTTCTTTTACATATGAGCCATAACAGTTTAGGGCTTGGCTGGGCAAGGTAGCTCATGCCTGTAATCCCAACATTTTGGGAGGCTGAGGCAGGAGGATTGCTTGAGGTGAGGTGTCTGAGACCAGCCTGGGTAACATAGCAAAACCCTTTCTCTGCCGAGGCTGCCGTGAGTTGTGATTGTGCTCCAGCCTGTGTGACAGAGCAAGGCTCTGTCTCAAAAAGCAAATAAAAAACCCCAGAACCCCAAAAAACAAAAAATGAATTTGAGCTTCGGTTTTGGTGCTTATGACTAACCTCAAATTGTCTCTGAGTTGACACTTAGCCAGTTTCATCAGCTGTTGTGTCCTGACAGGCAGCGGAGGGCGGTGGGTGTTTCTGGAAGCCATTTCTACACCTTGGTGACTAGCGATAGCATGACTATATCAGGAAGAGACTGTTCCCGCTAAACCCAAGCAAAACGTACCCTCAACTCAACCTCCCAGGAGCTGGACCCCACAACACCCCCTCCAGCTCCTGCGGAAGGGGAGGGAGTAACTGATGGCCCATTGCAGGGCGAAGAGACAGTTTTAGCCGGTTGTGGTTAAGATATTTCACTTTTGCAAGTTTTACAAAATATATGACTCTGTAAATACTTTGCTGGGGCCCAAGCTGGGAAGAGGCTGTAGGGGTGAGGATCCTGTAAGTGCTCCCCAGGACTTCCTGGTGAGCCTGTTTCTTCTCGAGCCCCAACTCCTCAGGGCAGCACAGGAGCATCCCAGCAGAAGTGCCCCGCCCTGGCAGGGGCTGACATCCAGCTGGCAGCGGGCAGAGCCTTCAGCAGACCGTGCCTTCATTCCATTGGGCTGACAAGGGTTTGGGAGACCCGTGAGTCCCAGGGACATGAGCTCACTGCCATGCTCCTAGGCTCTAAGGTGGGTCATTAGTATTTAACATGGTCCAGTGGGAGGCAAGACATTCCCAAAGCTTGGGATAGAGGAGCTTTAGGCAGGAACAGCAAAGTTGTATCCAGAGTAGGTGTCAGTTCCAGGAAGAGCAAATCGCTGCTCCTCCAGGTGGGAGGGGCCCGAGGTATTTGTTTGTTTTTGAGCCAGAGTCGCGTTCTGTTGCCCAGGCTGGAGTGCAGTGGCACGATCTTGGCTCACTGCAACCTCCACCCTCCCAGGTTCAAGCGATTCTCCGGCCTCAGCTTCCCACATAGCTGGGATTACAGGCGCCCACCACCGTGCCTGGCTAATTTTTGTATTTGTATTTTTGGTAGAGACGGGGTTTCACCATGTTGGCCAATTTGGTCTCAAACTCCTGATCTCAGGTGACCCGCCCGCCTCTGCCTCCCAAAGTGCTGTAATTACAGGTGTGAGCCACTGTGCCCAGCTGGCCGAGGTCTTCGGTTTCTGCTGCTATGGGTTGGACATTCAGCAGTCAGTAGGACCATACAGAGCCACCATCCCTGCCACCAAGGACACTCCATTCACGGGCCGACCATACAGAGCCACCATCCCTGCCACCACGGCCACTCCGTTCACGGGCAGACCATACAGAGCCACCATCCCTGCCACCACGGCCACTCCCTTCACGGGCCTTTGCGTAACCTAAACGTTGACATCTTTGCCTGCAAAGCCCAGAGTCTGGGCCCCTTCAAAGGCAGTTACTACTGTCTGCTCTTTATCCCGTGTGACAGTCACACCGTCCTGAAGTCAACACGTCCAAGGTACGCCTGCACCTCCTTGTTACTGCAGCAGCCAAGATGCAGAGTCATCCTAAGATACAGACGGATGAATGGGTGCAGAAAATGTTGCGCGGACACACAATAGAATACCCTTCAGCCACAAAAAGAACGAAATCCTGCCAGTTGCAGCAAGCTGGAGGTCGTTACGTTGAGAGAAATAAGCCAGGCACAGAAAGGCAAACATGGAATGTTCTCACCCACATGTGGAAGCTAAAAACGTTAATCTTGTGGAGGTAGACAGTAGAATGATGGTTCCCAGAGGCTGGGAATGGTGTGTGCGTTCTGGTGGTGAAAAGTTTGGTTAATGGGTAGGTAAACATGCAGGTAGACAGAAGGTATAAATTCTAAGCGGGGCTCGGTGGCTCAGGCCTGTAATCCCAGCACTTTAGGAGGCTGAGGCGGGCAGATCATTTGAGGTTAGGCATTCAAGACCAGCCTGGCCAACATGGTGAAGCCCTATCTCTACTAAAATTACCAAAAATTAGCTGGGCGTGGTGGCGTGCGCCTGTAGTCCCAGCTACTCAGGAGGCTGAGGCAGGAGAATCTCTTGAACCCGGGAGGCGGAGGTTGCAGTGAGCCGAGATCGTGCCACCGCACTCCAGCCTGGGAGACAGAGCGAGACTCCTCCTCAAAAAAAAGAAAAGAAAAAAGAAAACTGGACACTTTAGAGCCATATCACGTCAGCTCTGGGTGATGACTGGCCAGTGTCTCTGTGATTGCTGCTGCTCTTTCATGCTGTTTGGTGCTTGCCTGGGCGGATTCCATGTGTCTGTCCCCACAGTGTGGAGCCTCGGATGTCTCTGCTCAGCTCCCCCTTCTCTTTATTTTTCAGGACTTCTGGCTTCCTAGAAGACAGGCTGGGATCAGCATAGTTTAGTGCTCCCCACCAATTGGTCAAAGGTTGTATTTAAGCTCCCCAGGCCAACGAGGCTCCTGTAGGGCCCCTCAATTTCTCAGATTTTTTTTTTTTTTGAGATGGAGTCTTGCTCTGTTGCCCAGGCTGGAGTGGAGTGGTGCAATCTCAGCTCACCACAACCTCTGTCTCCTGGGTTCAAGCAGTTCTCCCACCTCAGCCTCCCGAGTAGCTGGGATTACAGGCACCCACCACCACATCTGACTAATTTTTGTATTTTTAGTAGAGATGGGCTTTCACCATTTTGAATAAGCTGGTCTCGAACTCCCGACCTCAAGCAATCCGCCTGCCTCGGCCTCCCAAAAATGCTCTGATTACAGGCGTGAGCCACTGTGCCCGGCCTTCTCTCAATTTTCTTCTGTGTTCTGACCAAAAATCAGAGGGTCTTGGCCATTTTGTGACCCATTAGCTGCAGGCTTTATCCAGCAGGCTTGAACTGAAACCGGGTCCTTGGACATTCTCAGGCACTAATAAAGGTATCTGGGTCCACTAGAAAGAGACTGGCCTAGCCTTGAACCAAATGCCTTAAACCCACACATAAACTCCGTTCCCTGGCCCCCTTGGTGTGGGCACACCCTGTCAGAACACCCCTTATCTCTTGCTGTTTGGAGGGCTGCTGCAGCTCTCTACACCGAAGTTCCCCTAATTAATGCTCTGGACTAGTCACCCTGGTTGTTAGTACGTCTGTCTTTGGAACCCCAAAGGCTTCATTTTCTGACAGTTTAGGCACTCCCTTTGTGGGAACCCCCATACCGCTGTTTTGGGGTGATTCTAGCCTGGGGTCGGGTGGGATGAAGTGGCTCTGTCTTTTGCTGATGGATTTGTGTGTGGTTGGAAAGCTTTCCAATCTGCTCCGCATTTAGCAAGCATGGCAGAGATACTCCAAAGATACTCAGGCCTGAGTAATCCAGGTGGCCCCTGAATGTCATTCCAACCATCCTATGGGAGGGAAATGGAGGGAGATTTGACTACAGGAGAAGAGGAGGCTGTGCAACCACCAGGGTAGAGGTCAGAGTGATGTGGCTGCAAGCCGAGGAGTGCTGGCACACGTGAGCTGGAAGAGGCGAGGCACGTGTTTTCCTCTGGAACCTCCAGAAGGAACCATGCCTTGTAAAAGCCTTGATTTTAGCGCCATAAGATTCAGCCTGGACGTTTGGTCTCCAGGACAGTAAGACAATAAGTTTCTGCTGTTTTAAGCCTGCAAGTCTGTGGTGATTTGTGAGGGCAGCAATAGAAAGCCAGCATGCCTTCACCACCCAGGTCGGGTGCCTGCTCTGGCTGCTTTGGTGGGTGCAGCTGGATACCGTGCAGAACCTTCTTGACTCTCAGGGCTGGATGCAGTATCTACGGGGCCCTTTCTTTGTCGTCTCTGTCCCTGGTTTTTGGTTACACTCCAGGCTGATTGGCCATTTCATTTGCGGCTGTCTGTGCTGACAGAAGAAGCTGTCTTCCTAACTGCTCTCCACTGAGCTTCCCATGCCTCCCATATTCCTTAGGCATGACTTTCCCACACTGTGCTTCCTGAGGAAGGCGGCCCCACGCAGCCACCAGCTGTATCACCGCCTCTCACCGGGGAAGCATCTGCGGACCTGAGGGTGGACGTGCTGGCCTGCTTCTCCCAGAGTGAGACTCCTGTGCTGCCGCAGGTGTTGGGGGACGGGAGGCCTCATCTTCTCTGCGAGTCTCTCCCTGTGTGGTGCCTATGCCTTGCAGCCAGGAAATGGGAAGAAGGAGCCCATGTTCTCAGCTGCAGCTCCTGGAGTAGAGCCTCACTCTGTTGCCCAGGCTGGAGTGCAGTCGTGTGATCTCGGCTCACTGCAGCCTCCACCTCCCATGTTCAAGTGATTCTTGTGCCTCAGCCTCCTGCATAACCTGCCATCATGCCTGGCTAATTTTTGTGTTTTTAGTAGAGACAGGGTTTCACCATGTTGGCCAGAATGGTCTCAAACTCCTGACCTCAGGTTATTCACCCGCCTCAGCCTCCCAAAGTGCTGGGATTACAGGCATGAGCCACCGTGCCTGGCGAGTAGATCTTTTATGACAGGGAGCTGGGGACTCGGGGGAGCAGGCTGAGCTCAAGCACCACAGATTCCCCCTGTTCTGACCAAGGCTTAATACATGTTGTTAAATAAATGCTTCTTGCTTTGCCGTATGCCCGTTGGTCAATTTCCAAAGTGAGAGGGCTGCACAGCCTTCTGGGTGTCCTGCCCTATGTGGGCTCTCAGGTGACGGCCTGGAGCACACAGAGCGTTGCTTCCCCACAGGCCAGTTCAGATGCCAAAGTGTGAGAACTGGACTCACCTCCCAAGGACCAGGGCCTCAGGTTCACCTAACGTGGCAGCCGTGGTGGTGATGTCAGCTGAAGCCTGGCGAGGTTCACACATTTGGAAAGGAGAGCTTTGTTTCTCATAAAGGGTCACAGCTTGCAGGGCCTTCCTTCTGACAGGCTGGGAAACGTAGCCTCCAGTCAGAAGTCAGAAACAAGACACTTCATGGGAAGGGTACGGGGAACAGTAATTTATGCTGAAGGGTGTGGCCAAATACATATTCAATGAGCTGTAAGAAGAGTCATGAATATTTATGAAAGGAGAAGCACACGGACGCACAATTGAGCTTCACGCCTCCCGTGGGACACATGTTCAAAAAATGGCAGCATTATCGTGATCTGAGGGTGGGGTTTTCAGGCTTCCAGCATCAAATGGTGCAGCAGATGACACGAAACCTCTCCCTGTGCTAACTCCATAGCCACCAGAGCCACTGCATGGACTCCATCAGGTGGTCTGCCAGTGGTCTCTAACAGGAAGGAATGCAGGCTGGCAGGTTGTTTTGTCAAAACTTATAAGGGAGGGGCCATTTGGGAGGGGTGGGGAGTCGGTGGAAATCAGCTCTGGAGTCTTTGGAAGGGGCTGGTTTCTGTTTAGCCCTTAGTAGGAAAGAAAGCCTAATGGTGGTTAGTGAGGGAGCATGGATAATGAGACATCTGACCTCCCATCATGGCTGGGAACTCAGCTTCCAAGGTTTCTCTGGGGTTCCCTTGGCCAAGAAGGAGTCTGTGCAGTTGCTCGGGGGGCTTAGGATTTTTTTTTTTTTTTGAGACGGAGTTTCACTCTTGTTACCCAGGCTGGAGTGCAATGGCACGATCTCGGCTCACCACAACCTTCGCCTTCTGGGTTCAGGCAATTCTCCTGCCTCAGCCTCCCGAGTAGCTGGGATTACAGGCACGCGCCACCATGCCCAGCTAATTTTTTGTATTTTTAGTAGAAACGGGGTTTCACCATGTTGACCAGGATGGTCTCGATCTCTTGACCTCATGATCCACCCGCCTCGGCCTCCCAAAGTGCTGGGATTACAGGTGTGAGCCACAGCGCCCGGCCATGGGATTTATTTTTATTTCTCAGTGACCGTCTATGCCCAGTTGAAACCACTGCCCAGGTCCCTCAGGCAAGATGGGAGAGGCTGCTTCTGCCAGCAAGGACGGCTCACGGTAGTTTAGGGGGTGCAAGATTCAAGTGTAGTTTAGAGGGTGCAAGATTCAAGTGTAGTGTGGGGGTGCAAGATTCAAGTGTAGTGTAGGGGGTGCAAGATTCGAGTGTAGTGTAGGGGGTGCAAGATTCCAGTGTAGTGTAGGGGGTGCAAGATTCCAGTGTAGTGTAGGGGGTGCAAGATTCCAGTGTAGTGTAGGGGGTGCAAGATTCGAGTGTAGTGTAGGGGGTGCAAGATTCCAGTGTAGTGTAGGGGGTGCAAGATTCCAGTGTAGTGTAGGGGGTGCAAGATTCCAGTGTAGTGTAGGGGGTGCAAGATTCGAGTGTAGTGTAGGGGGTGCAAGATTCCAGTGTAGTGTAGGGGGTGCAAGATTCGAGTGTAGTGTAGGGAGTGCAAGATTCGAGTGTAGTTTAAGGGGTGCAAGATTCGAGTGTAGTTTAGGGGGTGCAAGATTCGAGTGTAGTGTTAGGGGGTGCAAGATTCAAGTGTAGTGTAGGGGGTGCAAGATTCGAGTGTAGTTTAGGGGGTGCAAGATTCGAGTGTAGTGTAGGGGGTGCAAGATTCGAGTGTAGTTTGGGGGGTGCAAGATTCGAGTGTAGTTTAGGGGGTGCAAGATTTGAGTGCAGCCACCAAAGTTCCCACCCCAGGTATCAGGCTGACTTTGCTATGCAAAAGCTGCACATGGCCAGGCATGGGGACTAACATCTGTAATCCTGACACTTTGGGAGGCCAAAGAGGATTGCTAGGACTTCCAGACCAGCCTGGGAAATAAAACAAGATCCTGTCTCTAAAAAATATTTAAAAAATTAGCGAGCGTGGAGGCATGTGCCTGTCGTTGCAGTTACTGGGGAGGCTGAGGTGGGAAGATTGCTTGAGCCTGGCAGTTCAAGGCTACACTGGCCATGATCACACCACTACGCTCCAGCCTGGGTGACCAAGTGAGACCCTGTCTCAAAAAAAAAAAAAAAAAAAAAACCAGGCCGGGCGTGGTGGCTCACGCCTGTAATTCCAGCACTTTGGGAGGCCGAGGCGGGTGGATCACGAGGTCAAGAGATCGAGACCGTCCTGACCAACATGGTGAAACCCCGTCTTTACTAAATATACAAAAATTAGCTGGGCGTGGTGGCCTGCACCTGTAGTCTCAGCTACTCAGGAGGCTGAGACAGGAGAATCACTTGAACCCGGGAGGCGGAGGTTGCAGTGAGGCGAGATTGCGCCACTGCACTCCAGCCTGGCGCCTGGCGATGGAGTGAGACTCTGTCTAAAAAAAAACACCACCCGCCCAAAACAAAAAACTGCACATATTGCTCCTTTGCAACCCTCCTGCCCTTTGTTTTTATTTTTATTTGTTTATTTATTTTTGAGTCAGAGTCTCACTCTGCCACCCAGGCTGGAGTACAGTGGCACAACCTCGGCTCACTGCAACCTCCGCCTCCCGGGTTCAAGCGATTCTCCTGCCTCAGTCTTGCAAGTAGCTGGGACTACAGGCACTAGCCACTATGCCCAGCTAATTTATGTATTTAGTAGAGGCAGAGTTTCACCATGTTAGTCAGGCTGGTCTCAAACTCCTGACCTCAGGTGATCCACCTGCCTCGCCCTCACAAAGTGCTGGGATTAGAGGTGTGCGCCACCATGCCCGGCCAACAGGTTTTCTATCTTTGTTCATCTTGGACTGTCTTTATTTCACTTTCATTCTCTTTTTTTTTGAAACACAGTCGCAGTCTGTCGCCTATGCTGAAGTGCAGTGGCGTGATCTGCAACCTCCACCTCCTGAATTCAAGCGATTCTCCTGCCTCAGCCTCCAGAGTAGCTGGGACTACAGGCACATGTCAGCACGCCTAGCTAATTTCTGTATTTTTAGTAGGGACGGGGTTTCACCATGTTGGCCAGGACGGTCTCGATCTCTTGACCTTGTGATCCACCCGCCTCGGCCTCCCAAAGTGCTGGGATTACAGGCGTGAGCCACCGCGCCCGGCCTTCGCCTTCATTTTCATAAGTGGTTTTCCTAAATATAGGCTTCTTGCTTACAGATTTTTTCTGAGTATGCCGTCCTATTGTCTTCTGGTCTCTACTGCTTCTTCTGAGGAGTCAGGTGTTAATCTTATTTGGGGTTCCCTTGTATGTGATAAATCATATTTTTCTCTTGTTATTTTCAAAGCTTTCTCTTTGTCTTTGCCTTTCAATATTTTTGCCATGATATGCCAACTCCTGGAGGCTGCCCGCATTCCTTAGAATCGCCCTTAAGTGGAATCTCTTTTTTTTCTTTTTTTGTGAGACGAAATTTTGCTCTTGGGATGCTGAGGTGGGTGGATTACCTAAGGTCAGGAGTTCAAAATCAGCCTAGCCAACAGAGTAAAACCCTGTCTCTACTAAAAATACAAAAACTTAGCCAGGCGTGGTGGTGTGTTCTTGGGAGACTGAGGCAGGAGAATTGCTTGAACCCTGCAGCCAACTGAGATGGTGCCACTGCACTCCAGCCTGGTTGATAGAGTGAGATTCTGTCTCAAAAAAAAAAAAAAAAAAAAGGAAAGGAAAACTCTCCTTCAGCCAGGTGTGGTGGCTCACATCTGTAAACCCAACATTTGGGCGGACAAGGCAGGAGGATAACGTGAGGCCAGGAGTTTAAGGCCAGCCTGGGCAACAGAGTAAGACCCCATTTCTACCAAAAAAAAAAAAAAAGTAGCCAGCCATACCACTGCAGTCCCGCCTGGGTGACAGGGGAGACCCTATCTCAAAAAAGAAAAAAAAAGTAAATAAAATTAGAAAAGGAAAAATACTCTATAATTTTTCCCTAATTATAGGAATTATTTAAATTGTGATGATTTCTGTTGGGATTCAGTACAGTTGCCCCCAGTCTCCTGGAGCACGAGTCTCAGGGCGCCACCCCCACTGGCAAAGGTGACAGGCCCGTGATGGCGCCAATCAAGTACCCAGGGAGGGGAGCATGAGGATCCAGGAGAATCTGCAAATCAGCCATGGAGACTAGACCCATCAAGCAAGCAAAAGGAGAAAAATGATGTAAAATACGTAATAATCATAACGTAAGAAAAAGCCAGAACGGAAGTAACTGTGCAGAAGTGCCCCCTTAGAAGAGACTGGACAGAAGAAGCAAGTCCTTTATATGGTCTAAAATGCAAGCCTGCTGTCACCCTTGAGGGTGGCTCTCCTGTCCTCAGGGAGGCATCTTTAGGTCCTGGTCTTCAGCCTCTGGTGGGCTGCCTGCCCATTCCCTTCCTTGAGGTTATGGCCAAGATGTGGTGCCTCCTCCAGGGCACCTGCCCCCTCACCGCGACCTCCACGTGTCAATACCAGGGCCCTGTCCTCTGAGAAACAGGCCCAGCCTCCCTTTTGGCAGCTCCAGCACTGCCTGGTACGTCCCTTTGCCTGCAGCCCTCTTCTGTGCTCTCAGCTGCCCCTGCCCCTGTAGCCCTGCCTGCCCTGGTTACTGCCTCCTGTGTGGCTGGGCCCTCTCCTGCAGGGCAGTCACACACCCACCCTCCCTGACCCCTTCAGATGCTGGGCCAACCGTGACTGCCCAGATACGTGCCCAGTTGCCTAGACCCATGTTCTGGCATGGCCAGGCCTGGAGGCTGTGGCTGGGGGCTAACGGACCGTCAGATGGGTGAGTGTGGATGACTGAATCCCATATCTCTTCCCCCACAACACACCTGGGCTTGGCTGGGTCAAAGGAGCTTCCATCTTCCAGGAAGGAGGATTCTTGGAGGCAGCCAGAGACCTGGGACTGTTCTGGGCACCCACTGGTCATTTGGCCGGTAGGGGGCCGGAGGTCAGAGGTCAGGCCAACCCTGCCACCTGGGGTGGTAGAGACTTCTGGGTCCTGACCCTGGAAGCCCGGAATGTGGCTGAGGCATGGGGGCAGAGGCAGCTGCTGACCTCACAATGTTGGGGTCTGCTGTCCCTGGCCGACCCACTGGCCTCTATCAGTTGCCGCCCCTGGCTGTCGGGCATGTCCCTCCTCAGCAGCTATGACAGCCTGCGGCAGGAGATCCAGCGGCTGGCACAGGAGAATGAAGAGCTGCGGCGGCTGGTGCGGCTCATCCAGGAGAACCAGGAGCTGAAGCTGGTGCTCAGGAACCGCAGCAAGAGCCTGGGCTTCTGCAGCTCTGGGTTCCTGGCTGAGGTGACTGGTGGCCCCCGGCTGCACAGGCGGAGGACAATCAAATTCAAGGATGCCGAGAGAGGTGAGCGCACGCGCGGGGGCCCCAGGACTCTGGAGTCGGGCAAGCCCGCCGGAGGCTGCAGGGCATCTGGAGCAAAGCCAGAGCTTGTGGCTCTTTCAGGACATGCAGCAGGGAGAAGGTGCCAGGTATGGGAAGCTGACCTCTGAGCAGAGCCTGAGCAGGTGAAGGAGCTGAGAGGCTGGGGCTCAGCTTTCCTGGCCCAGGGAACAGCTTTCACGGGGCCCTGAGGTGGGCACAGGTTGGTTGTGCCCGAAGCTGTCAGAGCTGCTGCAGCGGCAGGCTGTGTCCTCCCAGCCCTGAGCTCTCCAGCGGGGAAACAGCTGCACCCCTGGGGAAAGTGACGGGAGCCTGGCCAGGGTGGCGGTGTGAGAAGTGGTGGCTCTATGTGCTGAAGGTGGGAGTGACAGGACTTCTAGCAGATACGGGTGGGTATGAGCATGGGGCTGGGTGCAGGAGCTGCTGCTGGAGTGGACACACTGGGAGTTGGCCTGGGGTCTGGTTTTGGGAAGTGTCTGGCCATGCAGAGCAGATACGGGGTGGGTATGAGCAGGGGCTGGGCCATCCCGCAGGCCTGGAGCTGCCTCTGGTCACTGTGGAGGGCAGCATGGCATTGCCAAGAAGAAGCTGGGACCCATCAACATCGAGGGACGGAATAAAGGGCTGGTGGGGCAGGCGGCAAGGAGGCAGGTGGGGGTGGGGTCAGGCAGTCGGGGCGGCCAGGGGAGGCCTGAGCCTGGGGTGGGTGGGGGTTAGCCTTCGTTGGTCTGTCCTGGAGCATGTGCAGTGGACTGAGGTCAGGAGAGCCCCAGAGGCAGGCGGAGGTGGGAGGTGGACACCTGGAGGTGCACAGCAGCTGGGTGCCTCTGGGGGAGCCTGGGGCAGGCCCTTAGAGGTACATCTGTGAGTGGAGAGCACGAGCCTCTGGGGTGAACAGAGGGGCGAGGGGGTGGCTGGGGATGGTGGTGGGCAGTGAGAGTTTGGGGTCTGTAGCACAGGCCTGTTGGGCAGCCTGAGTGTGTACAGGGGAGCAGATGGTGGGGGTGTGGGTGGGTGGGATGTGGGAATCTCTCCTGATAGATCCTGGGCTGAGAGCCAGGACCAAGAGGCTGTGCTGGGGACAGGTAGAAACCAGAAGGCAGGACAGTCCCGCAGGAGTGTGGGCTGGCCAGGGCGGGACCATGTGGCCTGTCAGGAGGGTCCTGGGCTGAAGTGGGGTTGCTGAGCAGAGCTGCTTTGCAGACTGTGCAGAGCAGGCAGGTGGGTGGGGATCCTGCATGTAGGTGTGGTGTGACCTTTGGGGTCTCAGCTGGGCCTCAGGATGGGGAAGGCACTAGGAGGTAGGGCTCCTGCATGTGGGTGTGGGGTCTGGGGGCGGCATCACAGCGGGCACCTGCCATGAGCAGCAGCCCATCCACAGGAAGGGGGTCCTGGGTGCCTGATCCTGGGCCCTTATCTCTGTCTCTGGGGAGCTGGAGTCCACCGCCCTTGGTGCAAGTGTCACAGGAGAGGGGTCCCAATCCAGAATCCAAGAGAGGGTTCTTGCATTTCTTGGGCGAAAGGCTAAAGTGAAAGCAGAGGAATGAAAGAATGGCTCCTCCACAGGCAGAGCAGCCCCGAGGGCTGCAAGTGGTCCATTTTGACGGTTATTTCTTGATGATATGCTAAACGCGGGGTGGATTATTCATGCCTCCGCTTTCTGGACCACATAGGGTAACTTCCTGACGTTGCGGTCTTGGCGCTGGGGACAGTGAACCGTGATGGTTCTGGTGGTTTGGCCAGCTTCTTTACTGCAGCCTGTTTTGTCAGGTACAGGTCTTCACGGCCGGTATCTTGTGCTGACCTCTTCTCTCATCCTGTGACTCAGAATGCCTTAGTCGTCTAGGAATGCAGCCCAGTAGGTTTCGATCTCTTTTCACCCAGCTTCTATTCAAGATGGAGTTGCTCTGGTTCACCCGCCTCCGACACAGGGAGGGAAGCCTGGTGAAGAGGGCCGGAGATACCGCACAGGAGAGGCCCCGGGCGGGGAGCTGGGGCTGGCAGAGAAGGCCGCAGGGCCTGCTTCCTGCTCCCCTCTGCCCTTCAGCGCCGCCTCCCACGCGGAACGACGTCCCCCAGTGGGGAGCCCTGTTGCGGCCTGGGCTGCCAGCTCCCCTTGCCCGGGACACCTGGGGGTGGGAACCCAGGGCGCCCGCCCTCGGCGAGCCCCGGTCCCGCGCTGGAGCCCCGAGGGCCGCAGAGCCAAGGTGCCCTTGAGCCGGCGGGGCGGCCAGCGGAGGCGCAGCGCGGGGAAGGAGGCGCCGTGGGCGGGCCGGGCCTGACGCCACCGGAGCGCCTGGGCCAGTGGCGCGGGGGGCGGGCCCCGCAGGCTCCTCCCCGAGGCCAGCCCGTTGCGCGCAGAGCCGCCCGGAGCGCTGCGGGAGACGATTGCGAGCGACCGAGCCGGGCCGAGCCGAGCGGCCAGGTGGGCCGCGGCCTCCCCTCCGCGGCCCCTTCCCCGCTGCCCTCCCGAGCCGCTCCTCACGCGTCCCCGCCTGGGGCCGTCCCATCCGTTCACAGGCTCGGTCCTGACCCAGGGCCACCAGGCTTGGGCCGAAGGTCGAGCAAAGCGGGAAGTGGGGTCCCCTGGCCAGCTCGCCCCAGACCCCCTCGCCGCACTCCCGTGCCCCTTCGTGCTGAACGACCCGGCCCGAGGGCTCCAGGGTCCAACGGCGCCTCCACCTCCCGTGCCTGCTCCACTGCCTGGGTTCCCGCTCAATCCAGGGCTGGGAGAAGCGTGATGCGGGGCACGGGGGCATCAGGCCACTGACCTTCGGCCAGGCTCTCGCCTGGGCCCAGGCTGCCCTCGGAGCAGGGGCTGCAGCTCTGGGTCTCTCCCTCAGGACCCCCCCAACATGCGCAGGGCTGGGACCCCTCTAGTCAGGGCTCAGCACACCCGCAGGTGAGCCCAGGCTGACCCCGCCTCTGTCCAGTTCTCCCAGGGCTACCTGCTGAAGAGCTCCTGTGGGACCCCAGACCCGCCACCATGGGCAGCCCCAAGGGCCGCTTCCACTTTGCCATCGACCGTGGGGGTACCTTCACAGACGTCTTTGCCCAGTGCCCAGGGGGGCACGTTCGGGTCTTAAAACTGCTCTCAGAGGACCCTGCCAACTATGCAGACGCGCCGACTGAAGGCATCCGCCGCATCCTGGAGCAGGTGGGCCAGGGCAGAACGGGGGCACAGGGACCCCACAGCCAGAAGCCCCAGGCTGACCATGTGGTCCCCAGGAGGCTGGCGTGCTCCTGCCCCGGGACCAGCCGCTGGACTCCAGTCACATCGCCAGCATCCGCATGGGCACCACAGTGGCCACCAACGCACTGCTGGAGCGGAAGGGGGAGCGGGTGGCGCTGCTGGTGACACGTGGCTTCCGAGACCTGCTGCACATCGGCACCCAAGCCCGCGGGGACCTCTTTGACCTGGTGAGTTCCATGCAGCTGGGCCCCCGGGTTGTGTGGCACAGACCCCTCAGGGATGCCTTGACCCTGTGTGTGGGGAGAGAGCGGCTGGATTAGTAATGACCCATGGGCACCGGGCAACAAAGAAAGAGGAAGCTCCCGGAATTCCCAGTGGGGCCCCCAGTTTCTCTAGCCCTTGGATTGGGCACAGGATGCCCTGTTCCTTCCTGCTGCCGTGCCCATCCTCGATGCTGGTGCGACCACCCAGGCAGCCTTGTGCAGGTGAGGGAGGGGTAGAAGCCCTTCCCTGCTGCTGCGTTTCTGGAAGAAGCTGCTTCCATAGGGTGGAGCAGTTGGCGGCACTCAGCTGCCTATGGGGGCGGAGAGCTGCCCCCCTAGGCGAACCTCCCTGGGGCTGCCAGTTATGATTCTCCTGGGCCTGCCAACTGGCCTGTTGGGACAGAGCCCCTCACCTGTACCAGCCACCCACACAGGACTCCAGCACCAACCCTTGGGCCTTGGCCTCCTCTGAGCCTCTGCCCGCCCCCAGGCCGTGCCCATGCCTGAGGTGCTGTATGAAGAGGTACTGGAGGTAGACGAACGCGTGGTGCTGCACCGTGGAGAGGCGGGCACCGGGACGCCTGTCAAAGGTGTGTGCTCCGCCGCTAGTGTGGGATTTAGGGTGAAGGGTCCTGCTGGCCTTTGACAGGGCCTCCTGGGCTCTCTGACAGGCCGCACGGGGGACCTGCTGGAAGTGCAGCAGCCTGTGGACCTGGGGGCCCTGCGTGGGAAGCTGGAGGGGCTGCTGTCTCGAGGCATCCGTAGCCTGGCCGTGGTGCTCATGCACTCGTACACGTGAGTGAGGTGGGCTGTGGGTGGTGGGAGCAGGTGCCGGGTCTGGTGGGGGATGAGGTGCCACTGGGTTTTTGTCGTAGGTGGGCCCAGCATGAGCAGCAGGTGGGTGCGCTGGCCTGGGAGCTGGGCTTCACACACGTGTCACTGTCCTCGGAGGCCATGCCCATGGTGCGTATCGTCCCTCGGGGGCACACGGCCTGTGCTGACGCCTACCTCACACCCGCCATCCAACGCTACGTTCAGGGCTTCCGCCGTGGCTTCCAGGGCCAGCTCAAGGTGAGGCCATGAGGCCCCTCCACCGCCCATTCCTGGGCCTGGGCCTGGGCCTGCCTAGCGCCTCACAGCCCATCCGCTGCCCACTCACAGGACGTGCAGGTGTTGTTCATGCGGTCCGACGGCGGCCTGGCACCCATGGACGCCTTCAGCGGCTCCCGTGCTGTGCTCTCAGGCCCCGCTGGCGGCGTGGTTGGCTACTCAGCCACCACCTACCATCAGGAGGGTGGCCAGCCTGTCATTGGCTTCGACATGGGAGGTATGAGGGCCGAGGGCTGGGGTCTTGGGGAGGCCCCGCCGCTGGGCCCCGGGTCCTCAAGAGACCCACTAGCATTGCACTCCTGCCAGGCACGTCCACGGATGTGAGCCGCTACGCTGGGGAATTCGAACACATCTTCGAGGCCAGCACGGCTGGCATCACCCTCCAGGCCCCGCAGCTGGACATCAATACCGTGGCAGCGGGTGGGGGTTCCCGCCTCTTCTTCAGGTCAGCTCCCCTGCTTCCCAGTCTGGGACCCCCAGTCCTGTCTCCCTCCTCATCTCCAACCCCAGCCCTTCCTTCACCTAGGTCTGGCCTCTTCGTGGTTGGGCCCGAGTCAGCAGGAGCCCACCCAGGACCCGCCTGCTACCGCAAAGGTAAAAGTCAGGATCTGCCTGACGCCCCAGGCCCAGCCCCTCCTGTTAGCCTCATCCCTGCTGCCCACTCCTGCTCCCCTGCCTCCAGCCCCCAAACCCCACACCCTGTCCACCTCCCAGGGGGCCCTGTGACAGTGACGGATGCTAATCTGGTCCTGGGTCGCCTACTGCCTGCCTCCTTCCCCTGCATTTTTGGGCCGGGAGAGGACCAACCACTTTCTCCTGAGGCCTCCCGCAAGGCCCTGGAGGCTGTGGCCACTGAAGTCAACAGCTTCCTGACGAATGGGCCCTGCCCGGCCTCCCCGCTGAGCCTGGAGGAGGTGGCCATGGGATTCGTGCGTGTGGCCAATGAGGCCATGTGCCGACCCATCCGTGCACTCACGCAGGTATGCCTGCCCCTGCTCTCCCACCTGTCCTGCCCCGGCCTTGCTTCCTGACCCATATCTCCTGCTCAGTCAGCCCAACAGGGCTGAGAGGCTGGGGGCTGGATGGAGTAGGGTAGGAGAACCCACTGACCCCTTCTGTCTCCCTAGGCAAGAGGCCATGACCCCTCAGCCCATGTGCTGGCCTGCTTCGGGGGAGCTGGTGGGCAGCATGCATGTGCCATCGCCCGGGCCCTGGGCATGGACACTGTGCATATCCACAGGTAGGCCTCGGTGTGGGTGCATGGGGGTGCATGTGATCCGTGCTGGGGGAGCTTCATTGCCATGCTGCCCATCCTTGCAGGCACAGTGGGCTGCTGTCAGCACTGGGGCTGGCCCTGGCTGACGTGGTGCAAGAGGCACAGGAGCCCTGCTCCCTGCTCTACACGCCAGAGACCTACGTACAGCTGGACCAGAGGCTAAGTCGCCTGGAGGAGCAGTGTGTGGATGCCCTGCAGGCCCAGGGCTTCCCCAGGTGGGCTACCAGGGTGCCCTGGGCAGAGGACTTAACGATCCAGCTCCCCCAGCACAGATCACATGCACCCCCATGCACCCACCCCCAGGCCCACCTGTGGATATGCAGGGTGTCTGTGCCCAGAGCCCAGGGAAGAAGCAGAACAGGTGTCCTTGCCAGGCGCTGGGTGGGTTGCGGTGGGGGGCAGGGCAGAGGGCTTGCTGTGAGTGCCCCCAACCACCTGCTCCAGGTCCCAGATCAGCACTGAGAGCTTCCTGCACCTGCGCTACCAAGGCACGGACTGTGCCCTGATGGTGTCAGCCCACCAGCATCCAGCCACAGCCTGCTCGCCCCGTGCGGGGGACTTCGGGGCAGCCTTCGTGGAGCGGTATGTGAGCTTCCTGATTCCGGATCCCTGGTGAGGGGCTGCCTGTCTGGTCGCCTTGCCCTGAGTACTCCTTGGGTCCTCGTGGGGGGGAGTGCAGGTACATGAGGGAGTTTGGCTTTGTCATTCCTGAGCGGCCGGTAGTCGTGGACGACGTGCGAGTGAGGGGCACTGGCCGTAGTGGTCTTCGCCTCGAGGATGCCCCCAAAGCCCAGACCGGGCCTCCCCGTGTAGACAAGGTCTGTGGTCCTGCCTGTGCCAGCCTGACAGTAGCCGTGGGGCATGGGGATGGGGACCAAGGCCTGCGAGAGGCATTGGGGAGGGTGCTGGGCCCGGGGGCTGCACTTACCAACACCCTCTGCAGATGACCCAGTGCTACTTTGAGGGGGGCTACCAGGAGACCCCTGTGTACCTGCTGGGAGAGCTAGGCTATGGGCACAAGCTCCAGGGGCCATGCCTCATCATCGACAGTAACAGGTGGGCCGAGGTCCAGCCAGGGTGGAGGGTGTGGAGGGGTGAACTGTGGGGCCCCTGGTGTGGGGTTCTCTGGCCCTAGGTTGCAGGGGCCTGCAGGACTCTATTCCACCATCGTTGGGGTGTCCCCTGTCCTGGGACTGTGGTGTCTCTGGTTGGAGGGGTCTCCCCTGGCCCCATGTAGCCTCTCTGTGCCCTCTGCTCCTCAGCACCATCCTGGTGGAGCCAGGCTGCCAGGCAGAGGTGACTGAGACAGGGGACATCCGCATCTCTGTGGGGGCTGAAGTCCCCGGTACGGTGGGCACCCAGCTGGACCCTATCCAGCTGTCCATCTTCTCACACCGCTTCATGAGCATTGCTGGTGAGTGGCTGCTGCCAGGTTCCCTGCTGCCCTGGCTCCCTGTGGGATAAGGTGCCATCTGTGTCATGGGGTGGCTGGCAGGGCTGTGCCCAAAGGGAAAGGCAAAAATAGGACCCCCTGGCGACAGGGCGGGCAGTGCGGCCGCAGCACTGCCATGGTGCAGTTGGCTGTGAGAACAGGCCTTGGGCAGGGAGGACACCTTCCCCTCTTACCCGAAGCTGTGTGATATGGGCATTGCCCACCTGGCTAAGGAGGGCTATTGAGGACACCACAGGGAACCCATCTGTGCAGGGTCAGAGTGGCTTGGTGGGAGCCTAGGGTTCAAGAGCCTAGGAAGCAGGTTCTTGCTGTGCCAGGCAGGGTGGGAGGGTTGAGGGCTGGCACCAGGTTCTTGCTGGGAGCTCCAGGAGGGGCTGGGGAGGAAGGTGGTGTCCTTTACACAGGCGAAGACACGTGGCCAAATGGGCATGCCGCCACCTTGGTCTTCCCCACGTAAAAGCTGCTGGGTCCTGGGTTTGAGCCCTGGTGGGTCCTGTTCCTCCCTTTCCTGGGCCATGCTGTGGGTGGCTGGGACCAGCGGGTGCCTGGTCACTTTGTGCTCCCAGAGCAGATGGGCCGCATCCTGCAGCGCACGGCAATCTCCACCAACATCAAGGAGCGCCTCGACTTCTCCTGTGCCCTCTTTGGGCCCGATGGGGGGCTTGTGTCCAATGCCCCCCACATCCCTGTGCACCTGGGCGCCATGCAGGAGACTGTGCAGTTCCAGGTGCGGGGGCCCCTCCCTCGCCTTCGCTCCCTCACCCCCATCCCTCTCTGTCCCCTGCTCCCCTGTGCCCACTCTGCACCTGTCTCCTGGTTTCAGATCCAGCACCTGGGTGCCAACCTCCACCCTGGCGACGTGCTACTGAGCAACCATCCCAGTGCTGGGGGCAGCCACCTGCCAGACCTAACTGTCATCACACCGGTGAGGGGTGCCGCCCGCCTGCCTCTGCTGGGGCAGGGTGGCCAATGCGTGACCGTGGCTCTCCACCCGCTAGGTGTTCTGGCCGGGTCAGACGCGGCCTGTGTTCTACGTGGCCAGCCGAGGGCACCACGCAGACATTGGGGGCATCACACCGGGCTCCATGCCCCCCCACTCCACCACACTGCAACAAGAGGGCGCCGTCTTTCTGTCCTTCAAACTCGTCCAGGGGGGCGTCTTCCAGGAGGAGGGTGAGTGGGAGTGGGGTGGGGTGGGCCTTCTGCAGGCTGGGACACATGGCTACTGCTGGCACGCAGGCTTGGCTGGTGCATGGGATGCTGTCCACAGGCCCAGGCCTGCCTTCAGGCCGGGAGGAGATAGGTGGTTACCACAGGGGGCAGCTGCACATCAGATCCCAGGAGCTGAGATGAATTCAGCCTCCGCCTAGGAAGGCCTTGGGGGGTGGTTTTGCGGGTGGAGAGTTAGCCAAGGCATGCAGGGTCAGGGTGCTGGAGGCAAAGGTCCTGTTTCAGGGTGGCTGGCTGTTTGTGGTGTGTTCAGTCACACTGGGTGGGGGCGGCAGAGAAACAGCAGGGCAGGGGCAGGGCCCAAAGGACCCTGGAGAGTTTTCTGGGCCTGGGTTCTATTCACTGGGAGGTGAGTGGCCGTGAAGGGCTTTCAGCTGGGCCTGCACTGGTCTCCTGCTGTACCCACATGTAGAGAGGATGCGAGGGTCTGAGAGTGGCCCAGAGGCTGAGGGGCAAGAGGGCGTGCAGCTGCAGTTGCCTTGGGTGATGCCGAGTCTTGGGCTGAGTGGAGGGTGAGGGCAGGGGGTAGGTGGAGGTGGGTATTTGGAGGGATTTGGGAGACAGTACCAGGGGTCAAGTTTGGGCAGCTGGAGGTGGATGCCCTGGCACTGAGCAGATGCAGGGAGGGTGGGATGGAGACGGCAGAGGTGCCTGTGGTGGGGGTGGGGGTAGGACAGACAGAAAGCAGCCCTGGTGTGAGGCTGCAGATCTGGGAGCTCAGGGGAAGTGGCGTGGCCAGGGCGGAGGGTGGGTGGGTGTCATGGATCCACAGGCTGTTCTGGGTGTTGACACAAATAGGGTGGCCCAGTCCTGGCTGCTCCTTTGGTCAGCATGAGCTGGGGCAGGGGGTGTGGACCACAGAGGGCCATGCACAGGCGTATTGCAGAGGGCCCTGTGGCAGGGTGCCTCAGAGAGGACCCTGACCCAGGTTCAAGGAGAGGGCCTTTCCTGAGGTGGGGAGCAGTCACAGGCCAGACCTCACTGTTTTCTAGGGGCAGGAGACCTTGTCTGGATCTGGGAAACCTGGGTTTGGGGGGCAGACAGGCTTGGCCAGGGGCTCAGTAATGACACTGTCCATCCAGCGGTGACTGAGGCCCTGCGGGCGCCAGGCAAGGTCCCCAACTGTAGTGGAACCAGAAACCTGCATGACAACCTGTCAGACCTCCGTGCCCAGGTGGCAGCCAATCAGAAGGGCATCCAGCTGGTGGGCGAGCTCATTGGGCAGTACGGCCTGGACGTGGTGCAGGCCTACATGGGCCATATTCAGGTGGGCCTGGGCACAGGAGTGTGGGCGGCAGGGCCACCCTGCAGGTGGCCTGGCTGCCACTGACTCTGCTTCCTGCCAGGTGAACGCGGAGCTGGCCGTGCGTGACATGCTGCGTGCCTTTGGAACGTCCCGGCAGGCCCAGGGCCTGCCCCTGGAGGTGTCCTCTGAAGACCACATGGATGATGGTTCCCCCATCTGCCTCCGCGTGCAGATCAACCTGAGACAGGTGGGCTGCGGGGAGAGGGCCTCTGGGCAGCAGGAGCAATGGACCGGAGGCTGACACCCTCTCGCTTCTCTCGGGGCACAGGGCAGCGCTGTGTTTGACTTCAGCGGCACTGGCCCGGAGGTGTTTGGCAATCTCAACGCCCCGCGGGCCATAACCCTGTCGGCCCTCATCTACTGCCTACGCTGTCTGGTCGGCCGCGACATTCCGCTCAACCAGGTTCGCAGGGGTGTGTGTGAGAGGGGGGCCTCAGCCCGAGTTCACCCTGAGAGCGTCCCCTGGGCCCAGCCATGGACTGACCCCCAAGGGTGTTGGGGGGGTGCTGTTTCTCCTTGAGCACCCGAGTGAGTTCCACCCACCCTAAGAGCCCCTGAAAGCCGCTCGCCCTGCACAGGGCTGCCTGGCGCCAGTGCGCGTGGTGATTCCCCGAGGCTCAATCCTGGACCCGTCGCCAGAGGCGGCCGTGGTGGGAGGCAACGTGCTCACGTCGCAGCGTGTGGTGGATGTCATCCTGGGGGCCTTTGGGGCCTGCGCCGCCTCCCAGGTGCGGGGGCGGGCGGGGTGGGCGGGCTGGTGTGGGAGCGGGCGGAGAGGTAGGAATGCCTCGCCCCAGCTCAGCGCAGCGACTGGATGCCCTTGCCAGGGCTGCATGAACAACGTGACCCTGGGCAACGCGCACATGGGCTACTACGAGACAGTGGCAGGCGGCGCGGGTGCCGGCCCCGGCTGGCATGGGCGCAGCGGCGTGCACAGCCACATGACCAACACGCGCATCACCGACCCCGAGATCCTGGAGGGCCGGTGAGCTGCGTGAGCGGCGGCCTGGGGGGAGCCGGGGCTCGGGCCACGCTGAGCCTTCGCCCTCGCCCTCGCAGGTACCCGGTCATCCTGCGCCGCTTCGAGCTGCGGCAGGGCTCTGGGGGCCGAGGCCGCTTCCGGGGCGGCGATGGTGTCATCCGCGAGCTGCTCTTTCGCGAGGAGGCGCTGCTGTCGGTGCTGACGGAGCGCCGGGCCTTCCAGCCATACGGGCTCCACGGTGCGTGGCTCCCCAGCTCTCGCGGCCGGCCCTGCCCCTGCCCCTCTTCCCGGCCTCTCTGGACTCCTCGCCTCCCTCCGCAGGGGGCGAGCCCGGCGCCCGCGGCCTGAACCTGCTGATCCGCAAAAACGGCCGGACGGTGAATCTGGGCAGCAAGACGTCGGTGACCGTGTACCCTGGGGTAAGGGCTGCGGCCTGTCCTGGTCCCCTCCCCACCGGCCCCCGTCCCACAGACGGTGAACAGTTGCAAACACGACCAGACGCGAGTTTAATTTGGCCCCAGAAGGAAAGGGGGTGTGCGCTGGGCCTCTGTGGTCCATGGGATGAACGCTGCCCCGCGGGGGAGGCGGCTGCACAGGTGACAGAGAGGGGCCGTGCCTGCGCTGAGCCTGCCCCTCCCCACAGGACGTGTTCTGTCTCCATACGCCTGGCGGCGGTGGCTACGGGGACCCGGAGGACCCCGCTCCACCGCCGGGGTCCCCCCCATTAGCGCTGGCCTTCCCGGAGCATGGTAGCGTCTTTGAGTACCGCCGGGCCCAGGAGGCCGTGTGAGGGTCAAACTGCTCGGCGCAGTCCAGCAGCAGCGTCAGCAATAAAGATCCCTACTGCGCCTAGTTCGTGCTCCAAGCCGTGTCTGTGTGTGCCGGCCGCGCCCCTTCCGACAGCGCAGGACTTAGGAGGACGCAGAGACTCAGCCGCAGCAGCAGGCCCACCACCAGGTGGTCCGTGAGCCCTGCCAGGGCGGTACTGAACGTCACCTGCTCCACCTCCTAGGGGCGGGGTTAGGTTGAGGGTCGTCCCAGCCACCCTGCGCCCTGGTGCTCACTGGGCTCAGCAGGCCCCAGGAACTCCGCGGTAGGTGATGTAGTCCAGGCTCCAACCTCTCCAGGGCTTAGCCCGGCGGCTTCTGCGGGGAGGGCTGGCCAGGTAGAGGTGGCGCCCTTTCTCCTGTTCCAGGGCCCTGATAGGGAGAGGCAGTGTCGCCAAGGCCAGGGCCCCTCTGCGGGCTTGGGGTGGGTAGTGCCTTCCTCCTGGCCACTCACCGCTGCAGCATCTCAGGGTCACAGAGTGGTGGAGCAGGTCACGGAGTGGTGGAGCACGGAGATGCTCAGTATGGTCCCTGGAGGCCCGGGGGAGGTTACCCAGGGCCCAGGGCTGCTCCTGGCACGTGCCCAGCTGGCAGGGGTCCTGGAAGCAGCTGAAGAGCTCATGCTCCTACTCCAGCACGTGGTCTGCAGAGAGAGGCCGGCTCGTGGTGGGGGGGGGGAGAGTGGGCCTCCTGGCCCTACCCCCCTTCCCTCTTGCTTGACCTTTTGAGCAGTTATCAAAGTTTAGGTCACCCAGGAGCACGCTGAAAGCCGCGACCTCTCCACTCTGGCCACTCTGTGCTGCAAACTGCTCGGCCAAGTCCAGCGGCATCCTCAGCTGTTTGCTGCACAAGGGCCCGTCTTCTGCGGTGGGGAGGGGGGTGGGGTGCGTTTGGCTCTGATTCGAACCCGCATCCAGTCCCCGCCTCCCAGTTCCTGATGTGTGAGCCCTGACAGGCATTTCTCAGGAATTCCCTTGCCTGTGCAGTATACAAAGGCTGCGAGGTGGGGGGCGGGGTGCAGGTGAAGGTAGGGATCGGCTGCTGCCACCTGTTGGAAACTGAACGTGAGCCTGGGAGTCTCCTCCAGTGAGAGGGTCCCAAACCTGGAAGACAGCGTGTGCGGGGGAAAAAAAAGAAGACAGAGCGGGGTCTGGAGGACTGAACAGGCAGTGCCCAAACAGCAATTTTATTTGTGCAGTAGGTTCCATTATATACCTTTCTACTTAATGTTGTTTATGTCAGATCAAAGCTTTTCTCAAATAACAAAAGAAACAGAAAACAATTCTGGGGAACTAGTAAAAGGAACAGATACTGATTTAAAAGGTCAAGGGGGAAGTAGGTGATGCTGATTATCAATATTGTCAACCAGTAACTCCGATAACAATCTTCAATTATCTAGAAGTCACAAGCTCAGCAGTAAACCATACATCTGCAAAAGACAAAGGCTCAATGCCTGGTAAACAAAGTCATAGAACAGGTTTAGATTAGGAGCCAGAAAGGGGAACACAATACCCAGTTAAATCACTTCAGTGTTCACCCAGCCGTTATCTCATCTACCAAGAAGGCTGAAAACAGTGTCCTGCTTAGTCAATCTCCTCTCAATTCCTTCTTTCCCATAGCTCGGCAGCCTCAAGCCAGGGAGAGTGTGTAAGGAATCAAGCTCACCTAATGGCGGAGGCCACGTTGTTAGCCTCTCGCAGGGGCGATTCCCATAGCCACCGAGCGGCAGGACCTGTTCCAAGGACCCCACCCACAGGGCTCACCAGTCGGTGCTTGCAAGTGAGTGCGTGCAGTGCAGGAATCCCACGATGCAGCGCCCGTCCAGGCTGCCCAGCTGTGCCTACAATGCCACAGACGGCCCCAGCTTCCCTCGACGTTTTGGCTGAATTCCTCGCCCGCTCCACGAGCCGCAGCAGGTTAGGCCAGTACCTGTGCGGACAGTAGTCCCTTGGAAGCCAGCGCGTCCTCGCCACGTGCATGGGGGAAGCAACGGAAGGCTGCGCACAGCAGTGGGTAGCGCGAGGTCAACAGCAACCTGCTGCCCAGTAGCTTAAGGTGCGGCCCCGACTGTAGGTTGAATGTACCCACGTCGTATGGCACCGGACCCAGGTTGGGCGCCAGGCAGTTCACCAAGCGACGCGCCGCTGGCAGATCAAATACCTCCTGCAGGCACACAAAGTCCAGACCCACGGGCAGCGAGGCCACCAGCACCCCGCGTGGCGCCCTGGGCCAGGGCTGGTTGCAGTCCGTCGCCCTATAGAGTGCGGGCCGCAGACCGGCCAGCAGCGCGGCGCCAATGGCCTCGGCCCGTCGCTGGCTGTGCGGCAGGTTGCTGAAGAGCGCCAGCCCGTCGGGGAGCAGGCAGATTGGCTGTGAGGAAGGCAAAGCAGTACCCGGGTTCAGCCGGCGGGTGCCAGGGTGTGGGCGGCGCCCAGCACAGCGGAGGGGGAGGTAGCAGAAGGGGCGACGCCAAACCTGCAGCCACAGCCAGAGCAGCAGGCCGGGCAGCGCCAGGGGCAGGCCGACCAGCAGCAGCAGCAGCGCCGCGCCGCCGCCCGCCGCCCTTCTCAGCCACCGCAGGCTGGTCGGGCGCGCACTTGGTGCACGGCAGCCCAGCAGCTGATCCACGGTGCAGTAGGCTGGGAAGAGCAGCACGCGGGCCATGCGGTGGAGGATGTGCAGCGCTGGGTGCTGGACGGGCGAGGGCCGCAGGCCCGGGGGCTGGGGGCCAGTCGGGTGGGGATTGCATGGTACGGCCGCGGGGCGCGGGGAGACTCATTGGCGGCCAGAGTACAAGTCGACTCGTCTGTGCGTCCGCACAAACTGCAGAGGAGTCACAGGGGTGAAGGCCACGTGGCGCAGCCTGAGCACAGAGCCCGCGGTGAGGCTCTGGCCCAGTGAGCCTGGCGGGGAGGCTCGGGCTTAGGTAGCCCGGCGCTTTCGCTGAGCGAAGCCGCCCACTCCTCACCCTATGAACTTCGGTGGCTGTTGGGAGAACAAATGAAAATCCGAAAGGGACCTAACCTCCCATCCCCACCCTGGATCCTCCTTGCCCCGCCCCATCCACCTGCGAAGGCCGCACCGGGATCCTCTGAGCCCCGCCCGACGCAAGCGGGATCCGCTGCAGCCAACGCCACGTGGAGGGCGACCGTTCTTGAGTGCCCGCGGCACAGCGCAGGTGAGGAGCAGTGTACGCTGCATCCGACTCGCCAGTACTCGCCCCCACGCAGGTCAACACTGAATAGGCTGCGCACTCCGGCTGCCCAGACGGCAGAATCCACCCCACCCACTGTGCGTTTCTCTGCAGCCCCGCCGTGTGGGGGCTCCTGAGTTCAAAGAGCTGACACCCGAGGAGGGATGGACTCCTGCCCCGCGCCCCGCACAGCTCCCCAGAAGGCCGGCCCGCAGTGGTGTGGGCCCTGTGGCCGTACCCCATGGAGCTACCAATCTAGAGGGAGGGACCATTGGTTCTGCCTTGCGCGCGCCACTCGCTCCACCAGGGCACGCGAGCCTGACTGAAGGATTTCCCTAGAGGCCGAGCCCTCGGGCATCCCCTCAGTCGGTTCCCAGCACTGGCCAGCCAGGAGCCCCAGGCTCTGCTCTCCTCCCACCTGTCTAATTGGACGTCTGATTGGATGTGTGAGCCAGCACCGCAGTCAGCGGCTGCCAGTGTGTTAAAGAGCCCTGGGAGTTTGGGTCAGAGCTGCCCTTCCCAGCGACTGAGAAGAGGCTGGGTGTCTGGCTGAAGTCTCAGGAGACCTGGGCATGGGGAGGGCCGGGAGGGCTGGCACACCCTGCATACTCTCTCAGTTCTGGGACTCCTTGCTGGTTGCTGAAAGAGTCCCATTGGAACCCAGACCCTATGGGTCTACTGTTGCCTCCTGCCATCCTCTCTGACTGGCAAGCACTGGTGCTCCAGGACCCTCCTCAGTTGGAGTTTTCACCCCCACTTCCCATAGCAGCTGGCCTTCTCACCTTCCTGCATGCGGGCTTGCTCCTGTCTTACTCAGCAGCTGAGGCCCCTCTGGGCTTTCCCACACTGCATGTGTCTTCCTCCCCAGGGACTGGGGGCCATTCTGGCTGGCCCCCTCAGCTTCCTGCACTTTCCACAAGCCCTTCCCAGCACCCCATCTGCCCTCAGTGCACTGTGAGTGGCCCCTGGGCTGCCTCCGCATCCTGCTGGTACTCCTGAGCTCCTGCAGCAGGTGGGGTCTGCCCTTGTCAGCTCTGAATCCCTCTCAAAGTCTCCAGGGCCTGTGGAATGGCCTTGGATGTGTTGGGAAGGGGCCGCCACTTTGCTGGGCTGCTCCATGCCCCGGTTGGGGTGCGGCTGCTTTCTCCCGGCTCTTCTCCCTCGAATGTCTTCTTGTCCTTAAGGTGTGGAAGACCCCTCCCCCCAGCCCTGGCCTAGTATGGGGGCAGGGATCTCCCACCCACATCCTTGTCTCCTCCCACCTCTGCCTTCTGCTCTGCACTGAGTGTGCCCCTCACTGCTTCAGCAGGTACAGAGGCACGGCCCTTCCTTGGCTGCTCCTTCCGGGTTTCTGCCCTTCCCCATCCCAGTCCCAGGAGCTCCGACTTCTTTCAGTGCCATGGAAAGGGAGCCTGGGGGCCTTCAGATCAACCCCTCACAGACCACTGCTGAGCCTTGGTCTCTTGGGGCCCTTGCAGAGGGCCTGGGATGGGCATAGACCTCCAGGGCAACAGGACTGAAGGGTCACAGTGCAGGGGCCTGGTGAGCCACCACAGAGGAGGCAGCACCACTCAGGGGTGCTGGCACAGGCCCAGCAGCCAGCGTTGGTAGAAGCTTTAATGGCCAACAGGGGTGTGGGCTGAGCGAGCCTGAACCGCTCAGCTCCAGCGTCACCAGATGAACATGGGCTTGCCGTCGTCATGTGCCAGCTGGTTGAGGCAGGAGAGCAGCAGCAATGCATCGGTGAGCATGCTGGGGTGCACGGTCTCCACGAGTACACGCTGCAGGAAGTCCACGGTGTAGGAGCTGCCCTCGGATGCCGCCAGCTCCTGGCGCTCTCGCAGGATGCCATAGGCATTCACCAGCTGCTCAGTCAGCGCAGGGTGCACCCGCCCGTTGTAACCCAGGCTCTGCAGCCTGTTCATGATGCTCACATAGCGCTGTGTGAGTGTCTGGCACAGCCCCTCATCCAGCTTGTGGTCATTGGGGTTCAGGGAGGCCTGTGGGGAGAGCGGCCTTCAGGGACCCTCCCTTGCCACACGTCCATACACAGGCGGGCAAGGGGAAGACCGAGGGGCATGTGAGGCTACAAGACGTCCAGGATCTGAGGGGTGTGCAGTGGGGAGGTTCTGGAAGAGGTTTCAAGGATCTAGGACGGGAGCCCAGTGGGCAGAGCCTGACAGAGTGGTCTCCAAAGCCTGAGCTGGGCAGGGCAGTGGCTCCCAAAGCTCCCCAGGGGCCTCAGCCACAGGATAGAAGAGGGTGCCCCAACCCACCACCAGGGATTGCAGCTGAGCTGAGGTCTCCAGGGACTGAGGACAGGGGTCGTGGCTGGGCATCTCGAGGCACACAGGGTCCCCTGACCCAGGGGTCTGGGGTCTTTTCCAGGTCTTTTCCACGAGGAGTCATGGTTCCCTGATCTGTTCCCTTTCAACCTCTGAAGGCCCCACCTTCCTTATCCTGGCCTCCATCCTCAGCACCCTCTGAGACTGCCTTTACTCCCCCAACACCAAACTGACAACCCCAGCCAAGTGTTGGCTTCAGCGCCGAGCAGCCTGGCTGCTTCACCTGTCTCCTTCGGTGCCGGGGGCCAGGGCCTGGAACCAGCACATCCGGGTCAGTTTCGACTCACTTCCTCATGGCCTGTGTCCCCCCCAACAGCCAGGCAGCGACTGGGTCCTGCCCTAAGGCATGTAATCATGAAGGCAGCCCCTCCTCCCACCCTGCCTGCCACTGCCCCTGGGTGTGTGACCTGGGTGGTTGTGGAAAGCCCTGTGCCCAGCTCAGTGCTCTCTGGCACCATCCTGAAGTTCTAAGTTTGGAATTATTTTCATTTTGCACTAGGCCCTGCAAATTTTATAGCCTGTCTCAGGTGCAGCTGCCCCCGCCTCCAGGCTTAGCCCTGCCTGCTGCCTGCACAGGCCCACAGAGCCACAGGTCTGAAGTGGAAGTTGGATGGGTTATCCCTGCCCAAGCTCCTCCTGCCATTTCCACTGCTGCAACACTTGGGGCAGGGCCACCCTCCAGGGACTCCCATCTGTCCCTGCACTTCCAGCTATGTCCCACTGTGTCCCAGATGCCTGCCGTGCTGATCCCCAACCCGCTGGGAGTACTCTTCGCCACTCCTTGCCCAGACAACCTGTTCAGGCACCACCCCTCGGGGAAGGCTCCCAGGCCAGTCGTATGTGCAGGGCACCAGACATGGGGCTGGACTCAGGACCGGGCCCAGTTGATGTGACCCCAACCTCTGCCAAGTGCTCCCAGAGCATGTGCTCAGCGCCGCTGTTGCCTGGATGCGCCTGGGATGGACCTGTCTCCCTAGTTGTAGGTTCTTGGCCCCTGAGTCTTCTAGGCAGATGAACAGTATGCACAGTTGTGGGGGGCAGGAAGACACCATTGAGGTTCAGCACAGGAGTAAGGGCCCGTGGACAGCCATGCTCAATGACTGCTTCTGCACCACTTGTGCCTGAGCCTCAGTTTCCCTGCTGGGATGTGGAGGAGATCACAGTGTCACCTGCAGGAATGTGCTGAGAGTTACAGGCAATGGCCCCAGTGAGCACTGAGCACCGGGCCACTCTGTCTTACAGATATTCCCTCAAGGAATAGAGAAGGCGGGGCACCCAAGATGAAGTATGAGGCTAAGATCTGGGTGGGGAGATTGCAGGGCGGTGCCACCATCTCCACTCCCTGCTGCCAGAGATGCGCCGCCTCTATCTTCTGTTTATTGCTTTATGTATTTACTAAATGCCTTCCCAGGAGAGCACATTGATTCCGGACTGCCTGGTGTGCACCTGGCTTGATACTAGTCAGGAGTGAGTGGGGTGAGGGAGAAGGTGGCTGCGGGCCAGTGGGAGCTGTGGAGGACGAGAGAAGTGAGTAGGACCCAGTGTCAATGGGATGTGAAGGGCACACGTGCTCATGTCCACACTGTCCTCAGAGGCGCGTGCCTGTGCTCAGCACCCAGGCCTTTCTTATGGGCAGCTGCTGGGACACTGCCACGTGGTCCACGGCAAGAAAGTGGCAGCAGGTGTCGCAGAGTCGCTGTCTGAGCACAGGCAGGTGCATCACAAATCAATTCAAAGACAGCCAAAAACACCTGTGAAAGTTGCTCCTATCAGAATAGAGTCACATAAAAAAAAAAAATTTAAAAATGTAGTCAGTAGACCAGTGCACTGGCTCACACTTGTAATCCCAGCACTTTGGGAGGCCGAGGCGGGCGGATCACCTGAGGTTGGAAGTTCAAGACCAGCCTGACCAACATGGAGAAACCCCATCTCTACTAAAAACACAAAATTAGCTGGGCGGGGTGGCGAATGCCTGTAATCCCAGGTAGTTGGGAGGCTGAGGCAGGAGAATTGCTTGAACCCGGGAGGCGGAGGCTGCAGTGAGCTGGGATTGCACCACTGCACTCCAGCCTGGGTGACAGAGCAAGACTCTGGCTCAAAAAAAAAAAAAATGGGTACTGATGCATAACTGTAGTCCTAGCTAGCAGGGAGGCTGAGATGGGAGGGCCACTTGAGTGAACCATGATTGTGCCACTGCACTCCAGCCTGGGAGACAGAGTGAGACCCCATCTTGTAAAAATTGCAGGCCGGGCACGGTGGCTCACGCCTGTAATCCCAGCACTTTGGGAGAATGAGGTGGGCGGATCACAAGTTCAAGAGTTTGAGACCATCCTGGCCAACATGGTGAAACCCCGTCTCTACTTAAAATCACAAAAATTAGCTGGGTGTGGTGGCGCGTGCCTATAGTCCCAGCTACTCGGGAGGCTGAGGCAGGAGAATTGCTTGAACCCGGAAGGCGGAGGTTGCGGTGAGCTGAGATCGCGCCACTGCACTCCAGTCTGGCGCCTGGCGACAGAGCAAGACTCTGTCTCAAAAAAAAAAACTGCAGTAGAGGAAGGCCATGAGGAAGCTCCCGGGTGCCATAGCAGCCTGAGGGTCACCCAGCCCTGAAGCTAAGCAGGTTTGAGGAAGGCCATGAAGAAGTCCTCTCACATGCAGGCCTGTAACAGGACTCACCACCACAACTTCCTGAAAACTGCAGGATTCCAAGACACGGCTCGCTCAAGGCCACTCACCTGGCAGTGGGCTTCACCAATGAACCGGGCCACTGCAGTGAGCGTCTGGGACCTCTGAACTTGGTTTCAAGGCAGCTTACATGGATGTCTCTGTCTTTAAAAGCTTTCCTTTTCCCCAAACCCCGTGGGTATGCCTGTGATCCATCACAGCACACATATTCCAGACTGTAGTCCTCTGTGATTTCCAGATCAGCTCACTGATTCTGGAGAGCCTAGATCTCTGAATTTCTTTTTAGGTTGACACTCCTCAATGATAGAAACGGAGAATGAATCCTAATTGACTTAAGGGTCAGAGAGGAAGTCCAATGCCGTTTTGAACAGTGTTTTGTGCCACCTGTGACACTCTGTGGTAGGGAGCCTGAGTGCTGCTCCGAGGGAGGCCGGAGGTTTGGCAGGTGCCTGCCCCACCGTGGCTGCAGGGAGGTCACAGCAGCACTTCCCAGCCAGCTGGTAAACAACAGAGCCCTGCTGGGACCCATGCTGCCTTTGCTCCCCGGGCCAGGACCCGCTGTAACTGGCTGCTGTTTCTCTTGTAGCAGTTGCTAAATATTTTGAATATCTCCCTAATCAGAGGAAACTTCATAGCCCCAAATGTATTTTTTTAAAGAGACAAATAAAAGAGAAAAAATAAAATAAAATAATGACTCAGGTGCTCAATTTAACAAAGAAAAATAAAAAGCAGGCTGGGCACAGTGGCTCACACCTGTCATCCCAGCACTTCGGGAGGCTGAGGTGGGAGGATCGCTTGAGGCCAGGAGTTTGAGACCAGCCTGAGCAGCATAGCGAGACCCTGTCTCCACCCTCGTACTGATGTAGCTGCACTCAGCGTCTTCTGGGACTAGGATGCCAAGAGGAATGGAGCTTGGAACGTCTCCTATAGAGCAGAAGAGGCGATGAGCACTAGGAGATTTTTAATTGGACTTGAAAGTCGTAACTGGCTGGGTGCATTGCTCACACCTGTAATCCTAACACTTCGGGAGGCTGAGGTGGGAGGATAGCTTGAGTCCAGGAGTTTGAGGCCAGCCTGGGCAACATAGCGAGACCCTGTCTCTTAAAAAAAAAAAATTAGGCTGGGTGCAGTGGCTCATGCCTGTAATCTCAGCACTTTTTGGGAGGCCGAGGTGGGCAGATCACCTGAGGTTGAGAGTTTGAGACCAGCCTGGCCAACATGGAGAAGCCCCGTCTCTACCAAAAATACAATATTAGCTGGGCACAGTGGTGAATGCCTGTAATCCCAGCTACTCGGGAGACTGAGGCAGGAGAATCTCTTGAACCCGGGAGGTAGAGGTTGCAGTGAGCCGAGATCACGCCATTACACTACAGCCTGGGCAACAGGAGCAAAACTCTGTCTCAAACAAACAAAAAACCAGGCTGGTCATTGTGGCGTGTACCTATGGTCCCAGCTTCTCAGGAGACTGAGGCAGGAGGATTCTGTGAAGCCCCAGGAGTTCAAGGCTGCAGTGAGCTAGGATTGTGCCATTGCACTCCAGCCTGGGCTGTCTCAAAAAAAAAATATATATATATATATATAAAATTATTTAGAATATGGAAAATATAGAATAGTTTCTGGACTTTCTGATAGGGCAGGATTTCTCAAACAAGACATGAAAAATACAAACAATAGAGAAAAAGATTAACAGTTTTGACTACGTTAAAACCTAACCAGGCCAGACATGGTGGCTCACACCTGTAATCCCAGCACTTTGGGAGGCCGAGGCGGGTGGATCACTTGATGTCAGGAGTTTGAGATCAGCCTGACCAACATGGTGAAACCCCAGCTCTACAAAAAGTACAAAAGTTAGCCAGGTATGGTGGTTCGTGCCTGTAATCCCAGCTACTCGGGAGGCTGAAGCAGTAGAATCGCTTGAACTGAGAGGTGGAGGTTGCAGTGAGCTGAGATTGCGCCAATGCACCCCAGCCTGGGCAGGTGACAGAGCGAGACTCCGTCTCAAAAAACAAACAAACACGAACCAAAGCACGCTTTAACTAGAGGCAAGACTCAAACTTGGACCCACGGAGCTCATGGTAGCTCCTGCTCAGGCAGACACAGGCCAGCAACCCACAGACGAACACAGCTGAAGAGAAAAAGTGGCTGGGAACACAGTGGGGCTTTTTCTCAAGAGAGGCCCAAGTGGTGAGAAGTAGAGATGCAGCCACCCTCCCTGCCTGGCAGTCACACGCCCCAACCCAGCTTCCCCGTGCCTTCCACAGCCTGTTACACGCATGGCACAGAGGCGCACTCCAGCATGTTGGTGAAGTGTCATCCTCCATGTGTCCGCAGAGGAGGCCATCCTGATGGCAAAGGGGAGAGCTGCCTGACCGTGCTGAAAGCCCCCACCTTCCCTTCCTCCAAAGCGACCGTGGGCTCCCACTGCCATATGCCCCAACACCTGCTGGCCTCTGGCACTCAGCAGTCTGCTTCCTCTGGCCCAGGGCCTCCTCAGGTCCTGGCATGTTTGTCCTGGCCGGAGTGCAGGGTCCCCACATGCCTCATGGGCCAGCCTGCCCCCATCCCTGCAGGTCTCCTGGCCACACACCTGGATGATCTTCTCTGGGATGTTTGAGACGGTGAAGCCATAGAGTCGCACGCGCTCTGGGAAGATGCTGGACAGGATCCTGCGGTCCAGCTGGAAGGCGATCTCACCCACCAGCCGCTCCCAGGACAGCTGCTTTGACACTGGGGACACAGGGTCTGGTCAGCCCAGGTGAGGGGGTGAGAGGGGCCGGGGTCAGCAGCCCAGCCCCACCTATATAGAGCCCGCAGTGTCACTGACCTCGGGGGCTCTCAGGGAACTTGCTCGTCTTGCGGTGGGCCAGCTTCCGCCCCACCTCCATCATGCTCTTCCTTGACGGCTCCATGGTGCGTGGACCCCGAGAGTCATTGACTGAAGCCGGGGAGGATGAGGTGCGAGGTGGGGAGTGGGCATTGTGTGGAGGAGAGTGGGGGGCAGGCAGGTTCCCGGTGGGGGAATGATGCATTCGGGAGGGGGGATGGGGGGCACCCTGGGCGATGTGGGTGGTGCTTGAGGGGGTGTGGCTGGTGGCAACCTGGGGGGAGAGGGCGGGGGCAGAGGCAAGGACAGTGACCGTGGGGGAGGTGGTGGGGGAGGTGGGGACGGACACAGGGACCACTTGTTCCTGGGCGGCACCGGGCTGGGCCCCTGCATCCGAAGTGTTGAAGGAGAAGGCCGTCGAGGGAGCAGGTGTGCCTATGGCTCCGATGGGGGTGGAGGCCTGCAGGGGTGCACCTGCAAATGGCATGCTGAGAGGCTCTGGGTCCTGGGTTGACTGGGGGGCCTCGGTGGAGAGAGGGACTGGTGATGTGGAGGGGACAGAAATGAAAGGAGGGGGATTAGAGTGAGTTGGGGGGGCACAGCCCTCCCACCACTCTGCCACCCACCACCCACCACCCTGTTACCTTTGGTGGTGGCTGCAGACACCATGCAAGCTGGGGAGTGGGGCCCAGAGGAGCCTCCGCGGGGCGGCTCAGCCAGCTGCAGCCTTGGGGCCTCTGGCAGCACCAGGTTGCTCATGGGGTTGGCCAGCAGGTTCTGAGAGACCCCTAGTGGGGCAGCAGTGGAGCTGAGCAGGGGGCTGCTCAGAGAGACAGCCACTGTGCCCGTCACAGGGGCTATCAGGGGGCTGTTCTGGGACATGGCCACAGGGCCTGCAAGGGGGCTGCTGGAAGTCAGGGGGCCAGTGGAGGGCAGGCCTAGGGAGCTGGCCATTGTACCCATGTGGGGCCCCGCCACAGGACTGGTCAGGAAACCGGTGAGGGGGCTGCTCTGTGACGTGGGTGCTGGGCCGGACAGCAGCGTGCTGAGGGGGCCTGTCAGAGGGCTCATGAATGAGCCCAGCGTGGTGCTGGGCTGCGAGCTGGTTAGCATCTGGGCTAGGGGTGCCAAGGCCGTGATCCCCACTTCTTCCAGGACTGGTTCGTTTGCCACTGCTGGGGACGGGGGCAGGAAGACACCTGAGGACATAGAGAAAGCACTGAGACCCCAGGGGAGCCCCTCCAGGCCAAAGGAGAGGGTGGGTGCAGGCTCTCCCACTGTGGTGGGGCCTGGCCATGGTGCCGGCCTGGCCATGGTGCCGGCCTGGCCCCGATGAGCTGACTGGTCCAACCTGGCCTCGCTGAGCTTCACTTCTTAGGCAGGCCAGGGTGGTGACCTTTCTGTCTCCGTGGGGAGTCTGTGCCTGCTCAGAGGATCCTGGGAATGGCTCCCCAAGGCCTCATCTCCAGCCCTGATTTTGATTCAGTTCTCCCAGGCTCACTTCTCTGACCACTTGCCTGCTGCCCCCAGCCATGGGGACCTCCCTCTGCCCTTTTCTCAACCATGTCCACCCCTTACCCAGCAGAGGGCCTCTCAGCAGCTGGACTCTCAGGTCACTAAGTTGGCCCCTCTGTTCTTTGGTGGAGAGAAGAGGGCCCAGACCTCCTGACCACTGTCTTTGTGGGGAGGGATGATCCCCACCAGGTGGAGGCTCCTCGGGGGGTCAGTGCTGCAATGGGCAGAGCCTCACGTGGCCCAGCACCCATGCATGGTTCCTGCCTTGTGTGGCTCGCCGTGGTCTGAACAGGGATGCGGGTCAGAGCCGGTCACACGCCCTGGTCCCAGACACATGGCTTTCTGCTCTCTCCCCACACAGGGGAGCCTGCTCTCCTCGGGTCCTGGAGGAGTGCTCCTTTCACTGACCATTGTTTAGGGGAGAAGCCCCCAGATCCTGTGGGGTGCAGCTGCTGGCAGGAGTGGTGGGAGTGCAGAGGTTTTGTGAGTATGTGATTTCATTGAAAACTTCCACTTTTGTTGTTGGTATAAAAGCAGTATATGTTCATTATAGAGAAAGAATGGAAATACAGAAAAAAGATGAAAAACCACAGATAGTCCCGTCATCCCACGGTTAGTCTCTATTGAGGGGTGTGTGTTGCCTTGTTGACTTTCTCTACCATGTGTACACAGAGCAGGAGTCGGCAAGCGTTTTCTATGAAGGTCCGGAGGTAAATATTCCCACCTTTGCCAGCTGTATGGTCTGTGTTGCAAGCATGCCATTGCCGTGAGAAGGCAGCCCAGAGGTGATTGAGGGAGGATATACGGTAATAAACCTTTATAGATGAACACTAAATTTTGGATTTCATGTGTCACGAAATAGTCTTCTTTTAACCATTTAAAAATGTAAAACTCAATCACTTGACCAGCCTGGGAAATGTGGAGAGACCCTGTCTCTACAAAAAACATAAAGATTAGCCAGATGTGGTGGCATGAACCTGTAGTCCCAGCTACTTGGGAGGCTGATGTGGGAGGGTCGCTTGAGCCTGGGATGGCCGAGGCTGCAGTGAGCCATGACCGCAGCACTGCACTCCAGCCTGGGAGACAGAGCGAGACCCCAATCTCAAAATAATAATTTTTTTTTTTCTTTTGAGATGGAGTCTCGCTCTGTCACCCAGGCTGGAATGCAATGGCACAATCTCGGCGCGTCACAACTTCTGCCTCCTGGGTTCAAGTGATTCTCCCGCCTCGGCCTCCTGAGTAGCTGGGATTACAGGTGCCCACTACCACACCCAGCCAGTTTTTTGTATTTTTAGCAGAGACGGGGTTTCACTATGTTGGTCAGCTAGTCTCGAACTCCTGACCTCAGGCAATCCACCCGCCTCTGCCTCCCAAAGTGCTGGGATTACAGGCGTGAGCCACTGCGCCCGGCCAATAATTTTTAAAAAGTAAAATTCGTGATTAACAGGCTGTGTACAAAGGTGGTGATCACATTGATCACGTGTCCTTCTGTACCTTCCTCTTCTCACCAGACACACACCACGGCAGCTCCCGCATCATGATTCTTTGTGAATGGCACTATTGTAGTTGCAGAGGCCTCATCTTACAGACACGCTGGTTTTTACTAAGCCTGTCCCAGCAGCTGGGCATTTACATTGATTCCCGCGTTCCCTGATGACAAAAACCCTATTACCTAAGTCTTTATGATTGATTTTTTTCCTGGAAATAGACATTTTAGAGGCTTCATTGGAAGTGTTCTGATGTCCCCCAGAGAGTCTCTGTGGCTAATACTCCGTGATGTGTGGTGAGATGTTCTGCCACTTTATTAGCCTTTTGAGTTCTAAGTTCTGGGCTGGGCATGGTGGCTCCTGCCAGTTATCCCAGAGCTTCAGGAGGCTGAGGTGTGCAGATCCCTTGAGCTCAGGAGTTGGAGACCAGCCTGGGCAACATGGTGAAACTCTGTCTGTATAAAAATTCCAAAAATTAGCTAGGTGTGGTGGCATGTGCCTATAGTCCCAGCTGCTTGGGAGGCTGAGGTGGGAGGATCACCTGATCCCAGGAGGTCGGGGCTGTGGTGAGCCACAACCGCCCTACTGCACTCCAGTCTGAGTGATGGCATGAGACCCTGCCTCATAAAAACCCAAAAACTTCTAAGTTCCATTTTCCAAACAAATAAATCAAAATTGCACAATCCATTCAACTGCTCTGTTACTTAAATGTTTATTTTTATTTTTAGAGATGGGAGTCTTATTCTGGTGCCCAAGCTGGTCTCAAACTCCTCAAGCAATCCTCCCACCTCAGCTTCCGAAAATGATGGGATTATAGTTGTGAGCCACCACTCCCAGCCTGGTCTTTTATGATTTTATTGTCTTGAATTTTTGGAAAGTTTTGTTTTAGGACCCAAGGCCAGGTGCGGTGGCTCCCGCCTGTAATCCCAGCACTTTGGGAGGCCGAGGCAAGCGAATCACGAGGTCAGGAGATCGAGACCATCCTGGCTAACACGGTGAAACCCCGTCACCACTAACAATACAAAAAATTAGCCAGGCGTGGTGGCACACACCTGTAGTCCCAGCTGCTCAGGAAGCTGAGGCAGGAGAATTGCCTGAACCCAGGAGGCGGAGGTTGCAGTGAGCCAAGATTGCACCACTGCACTCCAGCCTGGGTGAGAGACTGAGACTATGTCTCCAAAAAAAAAACAAAAAAAACAAACAAACAAAAAAAACAAACCCCAGATAGGGGTACTGGAGACCCAAAGTCAGTGAGGCCAGTGTGTGCTGCCCACAGCAGCCTGCAGGACCAGCCTCATCTACTTTCACTGCCCATGAGTGAGGACGTGTGTGCTGCATTTGTCTTTCCCTTTGGACTCAAACTAGCTAGGCAGGTCGCAGCTGAAAATGTAGGGTTAGGGAGCTCCGCAATTTCAACCCTCCACCGAAGCCACAATTAAGCCGACAAAAATGATTACAGTTACCTTTATTGAGGCCTCCAGAATATAATAAAAATCTTACAATAAACAGGGGATTGCTTGGTAAGAAAACATTGTGGCATTTTAACTTTTCTTTTCTTTTTTTTTTTTGAGACAGAGTCTTGCTCTGTTGCCAGCCTGGAGTGCAGTGGTGCGATCTCAGCTCACTGCAATCTCTGCCTCCCAGGTTCAAGTGATTCTCTGGTCTCAGCCTCCAGAGTAGCTGGGATTACAGACGCCTGCCACCACGCTCGGCTAATTTTTTTATATTTTTAGTAGAGACGAAGTTTCACCATGTTGGTCAGTTTGGTCTCGAACTCCTGACCTCAGGTGATCCGCCTGCCTCAGCCTCTCAAAGTGCTGGGACTACAGGCGTAAGCCGCCATAGCTGGCCTAACTTTTCTTTCATGGTATGTAATTTTTTTTCCTGTTTGTTGAAAGCTGGACATTGGAAAGAGAGTTTGGTAACCCTGGAAATCAGGTTCATCGTCCTCGCCAGGCTTCGCTGCTGCTGCCTGTTATCCGTTGTAGTTTATCGTGATTTAGCGACTTTTCTAAAGTACTTTTGTAGTGACTGTACTCTGTTGTGTGTGCTTGTGGGAATCTCTTTCTGTGCGTGTGACATGCAGAAGTCATATCCTCACAGTCATCTACTGTCTCCCATTCTTTGGACCAGTTATGGCCATAAGTTGGTGGCCTGCCTTCCCCGTGTGGCTTGCTGGCACCAGAAGGAGCAATATGGACAAAAAAAAAAAAAAAAAAAGATTTTACAGAAAACAGTTTAGAAAAGTCACTAAACAAACAAGCACGACCCGAAACAAGCAGCAAGAAACCGTGGGGAGGAAGGAATGATCTTATTTCCAGTCACCACATTACAATCTTTAAAATGTCCAGTTTTCAAAAAGTTAAAAAGCATTCAATAAGCGGCCGGGCGCGGTGGCTCAAGTCTGTAATCCCAGCACTTTGGGAGGCCGAGGGAGGTGGATCACGAGGTCAAGAGATCGAGACCATCCTGGTCAACATGGTGAAACCCCGTCTCTACTGAAAATACAAAAAATTAGCTGGGCATGGTGGCGCGTGCCTGTAATCCCGGCTACTCAGGAGGCAGAGGCAGGAGAATTGCCTGAACCCAGGAGGTGGAGGTTGCGGTGAGCCAAGATCCCGCCATTGCACTCCAGCCTGGGTAACAAGAGCGAAACTCTGTCTCAAATAAAAAGCATTCAATAAAAAGAAAGTATGGCCCATTTACAGGAAGAAAATGAATTAATATATATTATTTTTAAGGAAGCACATGTCTTGGACTTATTGGATGAAGTCTTTCAATCGACTGTCCTAAATATGACCAGAGAGTGAAAGGAAACCGTGGATGAAGAACTGAAGGAAACTAGGAGAACAACGCCTCACCAAATAGAGAATGTCAATTAAAAGAAATGATAAAAACAACACAGAAAGAAATTCTAGTACTAAAAAATACTATAACTGGCCGGATGTGGTGGCTCATGCCTATAATCCTAGCACTTTGGGAGACCAAGGTGGGTGGATCATCTGAGGTTAGGAGGTCGAGACCAGCCTGGCCATCGTAGCGAAACCCTGTCTCTACTAAAAATACAAAGATTAGCTGGCCATGGTGGTGCCTGTAATCCCACTTACTCGAGAAGCTGAGGCAAGAGAATCAGTTGAAGCTGGGAGGTGGAGGTTGTGGTGAGCTGAGATTGTACCACTGCACTCCAGCCTAGGTGC